TTTGCAAATTACATATATATATATATATAGGAATAACATTTGCAAATATATATGCTATATATATATATATATATCGATGTTATTAAGTTTGCAAATTATATATATACAAATAACGTTTGCAAATATATATGTTATTGATGTTATTAAGTTTGCAAATTATATATATATATACATATATATATATATATATATATATATATATAAATAAAGTTTGCAAATATATGGTACTCACGTTAAGTTTACATATTTATATTATTAAATTAGCAAATTATATATATTATGTTTGCAAATATATATGTTATATATATGTTATTTTTGAAAATATATAGATAGATATTGATGTCATGAAGTTTACAAATATGTGTGCGTGTGATTAAGTTTGCAATAAAAAATCAAGAATTAGCATATTATAATAATTACTACTGATATTATTAAATATTATTTATTATTATTATTACTGTATATGTGTGTGTGTATATGAAAAGGAAAATATGTGTGTGTATATATATGTGTGTGTGTGTTTATAATATATATGTATATATACGACATTAGGAAGTGTTATTTAATTTAACCTATGGCTTTGTTCCATCTCTGATTCTATAGGAATGTGACAATTTCTCTAATTCGTATTATGACGAAGCCGCTCAAAAATGTTGCTACCGATGCCCCGCAGGTCAGTAACTCCCATCCAATAATAATACATAAAATAATACTAAATATAATACTACTAATAACAATAATAATAAATAATAAACAGAATAATAATACTAAATATGACTACTAAATATAATACTAGTAATACTAAATATAATAATATAATACAATAATAATCCTAAATATAGTAATACATAATAACAATACTTAATATAATGATAAATATAATAATACATATAATATATATAATATAATATATACCTCACTACCTTTGAGGATGCTTGCCATAGATGCAGGCGAAACGTCAGGAGAAAATGCCTCTAGAACATGACCATATAGCCCAGAAAACCTACAACAACCCTATATAATAATAGTCTATATTAATATTATTAAAATATAATAATGCATATGGTAGTGCATATAATGTATATAATAATAATTTTTGTTGTTGTTTTTGTAAGGGTCATTTCCATATGGTCATCCTCTTCAATGACCTCTGGGGTTGGCGACGGCATTGAGACCCTTTAGCATCATTTTAGTCTATATATATATATGTATGTATATGTATATGACTATTTTGCAGGATTTCCCAGATAGAAACCAGGACACATATAGTCTAAATGTCACTATATATAGGTGTGAATGTGTGTGTACATATGTGTGTGTGTGTATATATATATACACCGCACACATATAGTAACATTTGGACTATATATATAAGTTTCCTGGACTATATACATATGTTTCCTGCCCTGAAAGCAGTGTCCCAATTTGCACCGAAAGCCTCAAAACCCCCCAGAAAATAACTATTTTGTGGGTGGGGAAATTCAGTGTTTTTCTCCTATTTTAAAGAGGTGGAAATCCCTGGTATTTGGGTTCCTGGCAGGCAGCTAGGCAGACCGGCCGCAGCACGATGCCGTAAATATCTATGGCATATATATATATATATATATATAATTTCTTATAATATAATTATAATATTATAATTATAATATATATATATAATATTATTATAGATAATATTTTATATATATAATATTATAATTATATTATAAGAAATTATATATATATAATATTATTATAGATAATATTATATATATAATTTCTTATAATATAATTATAATATTATAATTATAATATTAGATATATATATATATATATATATATATATATATATATATATATATATATAATATATGTCTTCTCCCCAAAAGGATACCGTCCAAAGTCCGAATGCCCCTTGGATTTCATTCGTGGCTGCACCAAGATCCCTTGCCAACCAGGATACTATCTGAACCATCGCCTGGCCACCCCACAGTGCGCCGCTTGCGTCCAATGCGCGTCAGGTAGGTGTCTCTCTCCCCTGTCCGCTTTGGGTTTTAGTCCGAACTTTGCAGGGGTATCCACGCTTTCCTTTCCTCCCAACAGTGCGCAATGTTGTGGAAGTCTCTCCCTGTGGTGCCGATGCCGGCCGGGTTTGCGCATGCCGACAAGGCTGGTTCTGCCAGACGCCGGTGCAGGATTCGTGTGTCCGGTGCGTGAAGCATCGCTCCTGCGGGGCTGGGTACGGCGTGCGGGACATAGGTAGGTCACGGCATCATCATCATACGATCATACAAGAGACTCTCAGTGAGCCTATAGCACCCATAGGGAATGGTAGAGGGAATAAAAATAATAACAATTATTATTATTATTATTATTATTATTATTATTCTTAATATTATTATACATCACACAGTCCTAGACGCTTGGGAAGTGTTCGACTTGCGATTTTGTGATACGAAATCCAGCATAGAGATCTCGTTTGCTGTGATCTATTGTGCTTTTATGTCAATAATAATAATAATAATCATCTATATAAATAAAAATGTAACGTTCGTTTGTGGGATTCACATAACTCAAAAACCACTGGACGAATTGACACGAAATTTGGACACAATACACCTCTCAGGCCAAGGAGTGACCATTACTCATAAAAATACTGAAAACTACATAGCAGAAGAGACTTTAAAAGCCAAAAAAGCAAAAGGACGCTGTAGCGCATGCACAAAACCACATATATTTATACGCAAACACACACATATACACATATACACAAATATATACACATTCAAAACACATATACACAGACTGGGCCACAGCAACGCGTGGCAGGGGACAGATGATAATAATAATAATAATAATAATAATAATAATAATAATAATAATAATAATGATACATTGGAGTCTCCTTTGGGACAGATAAAGCAGGGTATAAATAATAATAATAATAATAATAATAATAATAATAATAATAATAATACATTGGAGTCTTGTTTGGGACAGATAAACTGGGTTAATAATGATGATGATGATGATGATGATGATGATACATTGGAGTCTTGTTTGGGACAGATAAAGTGGGGTATAAATAATAATAATAATAATAATAATAATAATGATGATGATGATGATGATAATGATACATTGGAGTCTTGTTTCGGACAGATAAAGTGGGGTATAAATAATAATAATAATGATAATAATGATAATGATACATTGTTGTCTCATTTGGGACAGATAAAGTGGGATAATAATAATAATAATAATAATAATAATAATAATAATAATGATACATTGAAGTCTCGTTTGGGACAGATAAAGCTGAGGTATAAATGATGATGATGATGATGATGATGATGATGATGATACATTGGAGTCTCGTTTGAGACAGATAAAGCGGGATTTAAATAATAATAATAATAATAATAATAATAATAATAATAATAATGATACATTGGAGTCTCCTTTGGGACAGATAAAGCGGGGTATAAATAATAATGATGATGATGATGATGATGATGATGATGATACATTGGAGTCTTGTTTGAGACAGATAAAGCGGGATGTAAATAATAATAATAATAATAATAATGATACATTGGAGTCTTATTTGGGACAGATAAAGCGGGGTATAAATAATAATGATGATGATGATGATGATGATGATGATGATGATGATGATGATAATACATTGGAGTCTCGTTTGAGACAGATAAAGCAGGATGTAAATAATAATAATAATTATTATTATTATAATTATAATTATAATTATAATTATTATAATAATAATGATACATTGGAGTCTTATTTGGGACAGATAAAGCGGGGTATAAATAATGATGATGATGATGATGATGATGATGATGATGATGATGATGATAATACATTGGAGTCTCGTTTGAGACAGATAAAGCCGGATGTAAATAATAATAATAATAATAATAATAATAATAATAATGATACATTGAAGTCTCCTTTGGGACAGATAAAGCGGGGTATAAATAATGATGATGATGATGGTGATGATGATGATGATGATAATACATTGGAGTCTCGTTTGAGACAGATAAAGCGGGATGTAAATAATAATAATAATAATAATAATAATAATAATAATGATACATTGGAGTCTTGTTTGGGTGCTCTCCAAATGAAGAGAAATAATAATAATAATAATAATAATAATAATAATAATAATAATAATAATAATGTTGGATCATCAAACGTCTAGATGTCATCGGGATTTGTGAAAATATTAGAAATAATAATAATAATAATAATAATAATAATAATAATAATAATGTTGGATCATCAAACATCTAGATGTCATTATAATAATAATAATAATAATAATAATAATAATGCTGCTGCATTGGAGTCTCTCCTTTGGGACAGATAAAGTGGTATATTAAAATAATAATAATAATAATAATATAATAATAATAATAATAATAATAATAATAATAATAATAATAATGATTGGTAGCATTTTGAGTTATGCCGTAATTATATAAAATAATAATAATAATAATAATAATAATAATAATGCTGCATTGGAGTCTCCTTTGGGACAGATAAAGTGGTATATTAAAATAATAATAATAATAATAATAATAATAATAATAATAATAATAATAATAATGATACATTGGAGTCTTGTTTGGGACAGATAAAGCGGGGTATAAATAATAATAATAATAATAATAATAATAATAATAATAATAATAATAATGCTGCATTGGAGTCTCCTTTGGGACAGATAAAGTGGTATATTAAAATAATAATAATAATAATAATAATAATAGTAATAATAATAATAATAATGATACATTGGAGTCTCATTTGGGACAGAAAAAGTGGGATATAAATAAATAATAACAACAACAACAACAACAATAACAATGATGATGATTATTAGAGTCTCCTTTGGGACAGATAAAGCAGGGTAATAATAATAATAATAATAATAATAATAATAATAATAATAATAATAATAATAATAATAATATATTTTGCCAGGAACAGCCGAAAAGGACACAGTTTGTGAGGAATGCCCACCGGGGACGTTTTCGGATGAGGATTCGCCCTGGCAGCCTTGCCGAAGACACACCAAGTCAGCCCTGTTAATTGACACTAATTGTGACCAACGAGGCAGGATCCTTCCCATTAGGAGAGGACGCAGCCAATGACAAAAGGCCTAGAGTCGCCATGGGGGTCATATTATTATTATTAGTAGTAGTATTAAATAGTAATATAATAAGTAGCCTATGGGGTCTTCTAGGGTCATTTGGGGCTGTCATAATAATAATCATATTATCATTTATAATATAATTATAGATAATTATAATTACGGTGATGATGTATCTTCTGATATCCTCATAATAGTATTATTATTAATAGATAATAATAATAATAAGTATTATTGTAGTTTATAATATGTATTTATCTCTCTGGGGTAATAATAGTAGTAATAATAAGATCTTTTCTAGTTGTGCCAAGCTCCGAAAGGCCACGGCCACATATGGAAACGCCACCCATGATGCTCAGTGCGCCGACCCCATGACCAGTCGGCCAGCCGGCAGGTCAACCGAGGACACAGAGAGCATTCCCATTGAGGAGACTTCAGCCAGAGGTGAGTCCGGCTGGAGTTGTCCGCAACATGGAATTATAGCGGTACGATCGCAGTCTAAGCCTTACGGGGATTCCTTTCAGGTGAATGGGACTTCAGCCTCCTGGGAGGGCTGCTCTTCTCCGGGTTGGCACTCTGCACATGCTCGGTGGTGGCGGTCTGGCGAAAGAGGAGGGCTTGCAGCACATGGATCCTGCCCAGGAAATTGGAGCGTGAGTAAGAGGGGCTCCAGAGGCTATCTAGTCCATCCTTATGCCATAATAACAATAACAACAGCAAGAATATCATAATATACACAATATATAATAACGACAAAATAACAGTATATAATAATGATGATGATGATGATGATGATGATGATGAAACATGAGTCAGAAGGGGCTCTAGAGGACATCTAGTCCATCCTTATGCCATTATATATATATATATATATACACACACACACACACACACACACACACACACACAGAAAGAATATAAGCAACGCGTGGCAGGGCACAGCTAGTACAATATATAATAACATAATAATAATAATAGAACATGAGTCAGAAGGGGCTCTAGAGGACATTTAGTCCATCCTCGTGCCATAGAGAAACCCATAGCTGAAGCCTATTAGAGTGAGTAGATCATGAGTGGGAGGGGGCTCCAGAGGCCATCTAGATCATTATGCCATAATATAATAACAACAGCAAGAATATCATAATATACACAATATATAATAACAACAAAATAACAGTATATGATGATGATGATGATGATGATGATGATGAAACATGAGTCAGAAGGGGCTCTAGAGGACATCTAGTCCATCCTTATATATATATACACACACACACACACACACACAGTAAGAATATAATAATATATACAATATAATAATAATAATAATAATAATAATAATAATAATAATGGAACATGAGTCAGAAGGGGCTCTAGAGGACATTTAGTCCATCCTCCTGCCATAGGGAAACCCATAGCTGAGGCCTATATGTGGGAATAGAGCATGAATTGAAGAGGGCTCCAGAGGCCATCTAGCCCATCCTTATGCCATAATATAATAACAACAGCAAGAATATCATAATATACACAATATATAATAACAACAAAATAACAGTATATGATGATGATGATGATGATGATGAAACATGAGTCAGAAGGGGCTCTAGAGGACATCTAGTCCATCCTTATGCCATTATATATATATATATACACACACACACACACACAGTAAGAATATAATAATATATACAATATAATAATAATAATAATAATAATAATAATAATAATAATAATAATAATAATGGAACATGAGTCAGAAGGGGCTCTAGAGGACATTTAGTCCATCCTCCTGCCATAGGGAAACCCATAGCTGAGGCCTATATGTGGGAATAGAGCATGAATTGAAGAGGGCTCCAGAGGCCATCTAGCCCATCCTTATGCCATAATATATAATAATAATAATATATAATAACAGCAAGAATATAATAATATATCTATATATATAAATTTGTTAGGGGCATCCAACGAGGAAACAAAACTCAAAAAAACCCCAACGAAACTTAACCAAAATTCCCATGCCCATAACACAACCCACAAGGTACAAACATATCTACTCAAAATGAAAAACAACACAACAACACACTCACAAAACGGCAAAACAACAAAACTCAAAAAAAAAACCCCAACGAAACTTAACCAAAATTCCCATGCCCATAACACAACCCACAAGGTACAAACATATCTACTCAAAATGAAAAACAACACAACAACACACTCACAAAACGGCAAAACAACAAAACTCAAAAAAACCCCCAACGAAACTTAACCAAAATTCCCATGCCCATAACACAACCCACAAGGTACAAACATATCTACTCAAAATGAAAAACAACACAACAACACACTCACAAAACGGCAAAACAACAAAACTCAAAAAAACCCCAACGAAACTTAACCAAAATTCCCATGCCCATAACACAACCCACAAGGTACAAACATATCTACTCAAAATGAAAAACAACACAACAACGCACTCACAAAACGGCAAAACAACAAAACTCAAAAGTCCCCCAACGAAACTTAACCAAAATTCCCATGCCCATAACACAACCCACAAGGTACAAACATATCTACTCAAAATGAAAAACAACACAACAACACACTCACAAAACGGCAAAACAACTGAGCATGCGCATTGGCGCCCAGCCGCAAGTTCCCTGGCGCGCGCACATGCCCTTCCGGCCAACGTTCCCTCTGCGGAAACCATGCCCACTCCAAGCCCCGCCACGCCGCTTCCCGCACACACACACACCCCTGCCGCACACACACACACAACCCCACACTCCATCACTCCCCCCGCCGCCGCACACACACACGCAACCCCACTCCCCCCGCCGCCGCACACACACGCAACCCCACACTCCATCACTTCCCCCGCTGCCGCACGCACACACGCAACCCCACTCCCCCCCCGCCGCCCCACACACACACCCAACCCCACGCTCCATCCTCCCCCCCGCGCCGCACACACACACACACCACCCCACTCCCCCCGCCGCCGCACACACACACGCAACCCCACGCTCCATCACTCCCCCCCCCGCCGCCGCACACACACACGCAACCCCACGCTCCATCACTCCCCCTGCCGCTGCACACACACACACAACCCCACGCTCCATCACTCCCCCACCCCAATCTTACCTCCTTTTACTTCACGCCACCTCCAAACCCCACCCCGCCCCTTCCCGCCCTGTCAAAATCTAGGAAAGACAGGAAGGAAGGAAAGAAGGAAGAAAGAGAAAGGGAGGTAAAGAAAAGGGGGAAGGAAGGAAAGTTAAAGAAAGAAGGAAGAAGAAAAGGAAAGAAAAGGAAAGATGGAAGGAAAGAAAAGAGAGACAGCAGAAAAGAAAGAAAAAGGGGGAAGGAAGGAAAGAGATAGAGAAGAAGAGGAGAAGGAAAGATGGGAGGGAAGGAAGGAAGGAAGGAGGGAAAGAAGGAGAGAAAGAGGGAAGATTGGCCACAGCAACACGTGGCGGGTAAAGGTTGTTATTTCTATTATTATTATTATTATTATTATTATTATTATTATTATTATTATTATGATGCTATTGTTCCTATGAGACCCTTTTAGGGGGAATGGGAGAGGTGTCAGGTCCCAGAGGCAATGCATTGCATTATTGTTATTGTTATGATGGTGGTGAAATAAAAGGAAATAAAAAGAGAAAGAAGGAAGCAAACAGGGAGGGAAGAAAGGCAAAGGAAGGAAGGGGGAGGGAATGAAGGAAAGAGAGAAGGATGAAACCAAGTAGTGAAAGAAAGAAAGAGGTAGAGAAGGAAGAAAGGAGAGAAAGGGGGAGGAAAAGGGGGAAGGAATAGGTAGGGACCTCTCTTTCATAATAGTCCAGATATCTACCTCAACTTTGATAAGTTTTACTATAGGCCACAGCAACGCGTGGCAGGGCACAGCTAGTACAATATATAATAACATAATAATAATAATAGAACATGAGTCAGAAGGGGCTCTAGAGGACATTTAGTCCATCCTCGTGCCATAGAGAAACCCATAGCTGAAGCCTATTAGAGTGAGTAGATCATGAGTGGGAGGGGGCTCCAGAGGCCATCTAGATCATCCTCCTGCCATAGGGAAACCCATAGCTGAGGCCTCTTTATGTGAATACAACATGAGTGGTAGGGGGTGTCCAGAGATCATCTAGACCACCCTCCTGCTATAGGGAAACCCTTAGCTGAGGCCTATTATCGTGAATGGAACATGAATGGGAGAGGGCTCCAGGGGCCATTTAGACCATCCTCCTGCCATAGGGAAACCCATAGTGAAGACCTACAAGCATGAACAGAACATGGGTGGAAGGGGGCTCCAGAGGCCACCTAGACCACCCTCCTGCCATAGGGAAACCCATAGCTGAAGCCCATTACCGTGAGTAGATCATGAGTGGAAGGGGGCTCCAGAGACCATCTAGACCATCCTCCTGCCATAGGGAAACTAATAGCTGAGACCTATTCACGTGAATAGAGCATGAGTGGAAGGGGGCTCCAGAGGCCATCTAGGACATCCTCTTGCCACAAGGAAACCCATAGCTGAGGCCTATTAGCGTGAGTAGATCACAAGTGGGAGGGGGCTCCAGAGGCCATCTAGACCATCCTCTTGCCATAGGGAAACCCATAGCTGTGGCCTATTCATGTGAATACAACATGGTAGGTGGTGTTCAGAGACCATCTAGACCATTCCTCCTGCTATAGGGAAACCCTTAGCTGAGGCCTATTATCGTGAATGGAACATGAATGGGAGAGGGCTCCAGGCTCCATCTAGACCATCCTCCTGCCATAGGGAAACCCATAGCTGAGGCCTATTCATGTGAATACAACATGAGTGGTAAGGGGTGTCCAGAGATCATCTAGACCACCCTCCTGCTATAGGGAAACCCTTAGCTGAGGCCAATTATCGTAAATGGAACATGAATGGGAGAGGTCTCCAGCAGCCATCTAGAACATCCTCTCGCCACAAGGAAACCCATAGCTGAGGCCTATTCATGTGAATAGAGCATGAGTGGGAGGGGGCTCCAGAGGCCATCTAGTCCAACCTCCTGTCATAGAGAAACTCATACTAACGTGATGAAAACAAGAGTGGGAGGGGGCTCCAGAAGACATCTAGACCATCCTCCTCCCATAATATATAATAATATAACCACAGCAACAATCTAATAATATATACACTAAATAATAATAAGAAAATAATTACGTAACTGCAATATAATAGAATAGAAATAATATAATAGTATAATAAAATAATAATAATAGTATAATAAAATAATAATAATAGTATAATAAAATAATAATAGTATATAATAATATATAATAATAATATATAACAGCAACAATATAATAATGACATAGCTGAAACCAACTAGCACGAGGAAAATGAGTGGGAGGGAGCTCCAGAGGCCATCTAGTCCATCCTCTTGCCATAGAGAAATCTATATATCTCTATTCTATCATATATCTATTCTATCATTCCAGCCTTACTTCCTTCAGCCATAAGGTGGCACTGTTCCCTTTTGATTTGGCATTCCATAATCCTTTAATTTATGCGAAAGACTCCAAAATTGTGAGGCTGAGAGAGAGTGACCCCTTTGCTTCCGGATGCATCCACATTATTATTATTATTATTATTATTATTATTATTATTATTATTATTATGCAAGGTGAAAGGACGAAAGTAAACAAGTGGGTAGATATAAGGCTCTCTTTAATAATAATAATAATAATAATAATAATAATAATAATGATGATGATGATGTATATACTCGAGTATAAACCTAGTTTTTCAGCCCCTTTTTAGGCTGAAAATGCTCCCCTCAGCTTATACTCGAGTCAAGCTTATTTATTATTTTACTCTGTTATTAGTATTAATTTTATTTCATGTATTATTTTACTCCCTTTATTATTATTACATTTACAGTATTTTATCCTATTACATTTATTATTTTATGCTATTTATAATTATGATTACATTTATTATTTACTTTATTATTATTTTACTCTATTATTACATTTATTATTGTACTCTATTATTAGTTATTATTGCATTTCCATTATTTTACTTTCTTATTATTATTATATTTATTATTTTACTCTCTTTATTATTGTTGGAAGGATACGTAAGTACATTTACATTAAAGATATGTAATGATTTAATCAGAGTTGGGCAGTCTTCTCTCAAAATACAGTTTTATGTAAATATTAAAAAAAACAACAACATTTCACCTCCTGATTTATTTATTTATTTATTATTTACTTTACTTATATACCGCAATTCTCAGCCCCAGGGGCGACTCATTGCGGTGTACAACATAGAAAAACAGGTACAAAATACAGGACACAGTATAAAATCCACAATTCATCATTATCAGAACAATTTCATCAAAACATCATCATTATTACCAAGCCATTCATGTCGTCTCATCGTCAAAGCCAAAGTCCAGTCTCATTTTCCGTTGTTCCATTCCTGTCGTCAATTACCAGTTATTGCACTACTTGTTCGAACGCCTTCTTAAACAGCCAACTGCGGAATATCATCAGGGAGGGAGCCATTCTGATGTCCACGGGAAGGGTGTTCCACAGCCGAGGAGCCACCACCGAGAAGGCCCTATCTCTCGTCCCCGCCAGCCGTGCCTGTGAAGCAGGCGGGATCGAGAGCAGGGCCTCCCCGGACGATCTCAAAGTCCTGGTGGGCTCATAGGTCGAGATGCGGTCAGATAGGTATCTTGGGCCGGAACCGTTTAGGGCTTTATAGGCCAGCGCCAGCACCTTGAATTGAGCCCGGTAGCAAATCGGCAGCCAGTGGAGCTGGTACAACAAAGGCGTTGTATGCTCCCTGCGTCCCGCTCCTGTTAGTAACATGGCTGCCGCACGTTGGACCAATTGAAGCTTCCGGGCCGTCTTCAAGGGCAACCCTACGTAGAGAGCGTTGCAGTAGTCTAGGCGGGATGTAACCAGAGCGTGGACTACCGTGGCCAAGTCAGACTTCCCGAGGTACGGGCGCAGCTGGCGCACGAGCCTAAGCTGTGCAAATGCTCCCCTGGTCACCGCCGAGACCTGGGGTTCCAGGCTCAGCGATGAGTCCAGGGTCACACCTGCGCCTTCAAGGGGAGTGCGACCCCATCCAACACAGGCTGTAACCCTATGCCCTGTTCGGCCTTGCGACTGACCAGGAGTACCTCTGTCTTGTCTGGATTCAATTTCAATTTGTTCGCCCTCATCCAGACCGTTACAGCGGCCAGGCACCGGTTCAGGACCTCGACAGCCTCCTTAGTAGCAGGTGGGAAGGAGTGACAGAGCTGGACATCAATTAATGTAATTTTATTGGTATCTATTTTTATTTTGAAATTTACCTGTAGCGGCTGCATTTTCGACCCTCAGCTTATACTCAATACGTTTTCCCAGTTTTTTTTGTGGTAAAATTAGGTGCTTCGGCTTATATTCGGGTCGGCTTATTCTCGAGTATATACGGTAATTTAAGTAAAAATACACAAATCAGATGATGGTTTTGTATTTAACTATTAGTAAGAAATATATCATAAAATATAATAACTTTTTATCATCGTCATCTTATTCTTTCTTCTCTCAATACAGTGTCGAACCAGGCGAAGATATGCGCAGTAAGTAGGACATCGGCACGATAACTCGTATCCGGCATTAATGTGGGACTAAACCTACTTAAATGGGGCAAATGCAGATGGCGGAAAGTCCTATAAATATTTCAACTTTCTTCTTTCTTATCTGGGGTTTCCTTTTAAGAAAGAGATTCGTTTGCTGAATTCGGTGGAAGAAGAAGAACAAGGTAATGCGCCAGGCCCTGATGGCAACTCGTTCCAGGATATGGAGGCATTGCCTGTTTTAGAACTGGTTCAAGGGGACGACGGAGGATCGGGAGACACGCCTCCGCAGTGCACCAATTGCATTGGTGAGTTGGGGGATTTTCACGAGGAAGAGACGTGCGTCGCACGACTGGGAAACGGATATAGGTCACTATTATGGGGAAAAGATGCCATCAGTCGGGCGTGGGCAAAGTTGGGCCCTCCGGGTGTTTTGGACTCCAACTCCCACAATTCCTAACAGCCGGTAGTTGGTTTCAGCTATGTCGTTATTATTATATTGTTGCCGTTCTATATTATTATTATTATATATATTATTATAGACTATTATTATTTTATTATTATACTATTATTATTATTATTATTTTATTATACTATTATATTATTTATATTCTATTATATTGCAGTTACGTTATTATTTTGTTATTATTATTTAGTGCATATATTATTAGATTGTTGCTGTTGTTATATATTATTATATATTATGGGAGGAGGATGGTCTAGATGTCTTCTGGAGCCCCCTCCCACTCTTGTTTTCATCACACTAGTATGAGTTTCTCTATGGCAGAAGGCTGGACTAGATGGCCTCTGGAGCCCCCTCCCACTCATGCTCTCTTCACATGAATAGGCCTCAGCTATGGGTTTCCTTGTGGCGAGAGGATGTTCTAGATGGCCCCTGGAGCCCTCTCCCATTCATGTTTCATTCACGATAATTGGCCTCAGCTAAGGGTTCCCCTATAGCAGGAGGGTGGTCTAGATGATCCCTGGACACCCCCTACTACTCATGATCTACTCACGTGAATAGGGCTCAGCTGTGTGGGTTTCCCTATGGCAGGAGGATGGTCTAGATGGAGCCTGGAGCCCTCTCCCATTCATGTTCCATTCACGATAATAGGCCTCAGCTAAGGGTTTCCCTATAGCAGGAGGGTGGTCTAGATGATCTCTGGACACCCCCTACCACTCATGTTGTATTCACATAAAGAGGCCTCAGCTATGGGTTTCCCTATGGCAGGAGGATGGTCTAGATGGCCTCTGGAGCCCCCTTCCACCCATGTTCTGTTCATGCTTGTAGGCCTTTACTATGGGTTTCCCTTTGGCAGGAGGATGGTCTAGATCAGGGGTAGGGAACCTTTGGCCCTCCAGCTGTGGTGGACTTCAACTCCCACAAGTCCTTGAGGCTCGGCATTCGCCGCCTTTGGGGCCAATGCCGAGCCTCAAGGAATTGTGGGAGTTGAAGTCCACCACAGCTGGAGGGCCAAAGGTTCCCTACCCCTGGTCTAGATGGTCTCTGGAGCCCCCTTCCACTCATGATCTACTCGCGCAACTTTGCCCACGCCTGACTGATAGCATCCTTTTCCCCTTCTTTCTCCCATAGAGAAGATCTACATCATGCGAGCGGATACGGTGATTGTGGGCTCGGTCTCCGACGTCCCGCCCGGGAAAAAAGATGACTGCGGAAGAGGAGATCCCGGAGAGGAAAACGCGGTCATGCGGTATCCCGAACAGGAAACGGAGCCCCCTCCAGAAAGTGACCTCACAACCCCTGTGGAGGAAGAATGGGAATTCCACTATTCTGGAGGGAAGACCTTGGCTGTCTAGGAAGCATGACGCATGCCCACCAATAGTCCCGAACTTCCGATTCAATTCTATTGATTGCTTACAACCGTATGATTGGACTAGATGACCTTTGGAGGTCCTTTCCATCTCTGTGACCAGACTAGATGACCTTTGCGGGTCTCTTCTATCTCTATTATGGGGTTAGATGACCTTTGAGGGTCCCTTCCAGTTCTGTGACTGGACTAGATGACCTTTGGGGTTCCAGTTCTGTGAATGGACTAGATGACCCTTAGGGGTCCCTTCTAGTTTTACTATTGGACTAGATGACCTTTGAGGGTCCCTTCTAATTCTGTAATTAGACTAAATGACCTTTGGCACTCCCTTCCAGTCCTGTGATTGGACTAGATGACCTTTGTGGATCTCTTCTATCTCTATTATGGGGCTAGATGACCTTTGAGGGTCCCTTCCAGTTCTATGAGTGGACTAGATGACTTTTGGGGATCCCTTCTAGTTTTACTATTGGACTAGGTGACCTTTGGGGGTCCTTCTATCGCTATCTTTGGACTAGATGACCTTTGGGGATCCCTTCCAGCACTGTGATCAGACTAGATGACCTTTGGGGGTCCCTTCTAGTTTATCTATTGGACTAGATGACCTTTGGGAGTCCTTCTATCTCTATGATTGGACTAGATGACCTTTGAGGGTTCCAGTTCTATGATTGGACTAGATGACCTTTGGGGGGTCCTTCTATCTCTATCATTTGACTAGATGACCTTTGAGGGTCCCAGTTCTATGATTGGACTAGATGACCTTTGGGGCCCCCTTCTATCTTTATCATTGGACTAGATGACCCTTGAGTGTCCCTTCCAGTTCTATGACTGGACTAGATGACCTTTGGAGGTCCCTTCTATCTCTATAATTGGATGACCTTTGGGGGTCCCTTCCAGTTCTGTGATAGGACTAGATGATCTTTGGGGATCCCTTCTATCTCTATCATTGAACTAGATGACCTTTGGGGGTCCCAATTCCATAATTGGACTAGATGACCTTTGGGGTCCTTTCTATCTCTAACATTGGACTAGATGACCTTTGGGGGTCCCAATTCTGTAATTGGACTAGATGACCTTTGGGGTTCCCTTCCAGTTCTGTGATCAGACTGTATGACCTTTGGGATCCTTTATAGTCCTGTGATCAGATTAGATGAGCTTTGGGGTTCCCTACTAGTTCTATGATGGGACTAGATGATCTTTGGGGGTCCCTTCTATCTTTGTCATTGGAGTAGATGACCTTTGGGGGTCCTTCTATCTCTATGATTGGACTAGATGACCTTTGAGAGCTCCAGTTCTATGACTGGACTAGATGACCTTTGGAGATCCCTTCTATCTCTATCATTGAACTGGATGACCTTTGGGGGTCCCTTCCACTTCAATGATTAGACTAGATGACCTTTGGGTGTCCCTTCTAGTTCTGACATCAGACTAGATGACCTTTGGGGGTCCCTTCTATCTCTAACATTGGACTAGATGACCTTTGGGGGTCCCTTCTATCGCTAACATTGGACTAGATGACCTTTGGGGGTCCCTTCTATCGCTAACATTGGACTAGATGACCTTTGGGGGTCCCTTCTATCTCTAACATTGGACTAGATGACCTTTGGGGGTCCCTTCTATCTCTAACATTGGACTAGATGACCTTGAGGGCTCCCTTCCCGTTCTATTTACCTCTGAGCCCATCAAAAACGAAACAAAAACGAGAGGGAAACGAATCACTTCGAAGCCTTTCCCCTTTGACTCCGCTTTTTGCGTAGCCCGGCCTTCTCTTCACGGAGCCTACGCAAACTTCCGGGCCTAACTCGCTTTCGAGAATAGCTCCGCCCGCCCGCTGGCGCAGGGGAGGCCTACGCTGCTTCCTCGAAGCTTGACGCTTACGGACGTTGCGTAGCCTGGCCTTCCCGTCGAGGCGCCTACGCCACTTTTAAGCGTAACTCGCCTTCGAGAATAGGAGTACCTCAGAAGCGGTCTACGCGGCTTCCTCGAAGCTTGACGCTTACGGACGTTGCGTAGCCTGGCCTTCCCCTCAAGGCGCCTACGCCACTTTTAAGCGTAACTCGCCTTCGAGAATAGGAGTACCTCAGAAGCGGGCTACGCGGCTTCCTCAAAGCTTGACGCTTACGGACGTTGCGTAGCCTGGCCTTCCCGTCGAGGCGCCTACGCCACTTTTAAGCGTAACTCACCTTCGAGAATAGAAGTATCTCAGAAGCGTCCTCGAAGCCTGACGCTTGCGTGCGCACTACGCTACGGACGTTGCGTAGCTTGGCTGTCTCCTCGAGGCGCCTACGCCACGTTCAGGCGTAACTCACTTTCGAGAATGCAAAATACCTCAGAGGAGGCCTAGGCGGCTTTTTGGAGCCTGAGACTCGCGTGAGCCCTGAAGGCCGGCCAGGTGGAAGGGAAGGTGGGGACGTTTCAGGGTTTTTTCTTAAACTGAGACGCTGACAAGGCAGACAATGTATTGGGAGGCATGAAAGATTAAACCACAATAAATAATAATAATAAGGATTAATAAATATACGTGAAAAATATAATATAATATAATGTGGAAATGTAAGGTTTTAAATTGTAATTCTGTCAGTGTAAAGCAATGTGGTGGGAAAATAAATACTACAAAATTATTATTATTATATATTATAAATATTATATTATATATTAGAAATATTAATAATATAATATTAAATAATATTTAATGTTTAATATATTATATAATATAATATTAAATATATTAAATTATTATTATATTAGAAATATATTATATATTAGAAATATTAGAAATTTAATATTATATTAAATAATAATATAATTTAATATATTATCTAATATCATGTTAAATATATTAAATTATATTAGATAATATAATGTTGGGAAAATAAAATATACCACAAAGTTATTAGTAATAATAGAAAAATAGAAAAATAAAATATCCTACAAAATTAATAATAATAATATTAGGAATGATAAATGTTTATATGTAATATACAATGTGGAAAATTTAATATAATTTAATATATAATATAATAACCTAACAGAAGCTGAAGAGATCAAGAGAAGGTGGCGAGACTACACAGAAGATCTGTATAGGAAGGATAATAATATTGAGGATAGTTTTGACGGTGTTGTGAATGAATTAGAACCAGACATCCTGAGGAGTGAGGTTGAATGGGCCTTAAGAAGCATTGCTAACAACAAGGCAGCAGGAGAAGACGGGATCCCAGCTGAACTGTTTAAAATCTTAAAAGATGATGCTGTCAAGGTGATGCATGCCATATGCCAGCAAATATGGAAAACACAAGAATGGCCATCAGACTGGAAAAAATCAACTTATATCCCCATACCAAAAAAGGGAAATGCGAAAGACTGCTCAAACTTCCGTACAGTGGCCCTTTTTTCTCATGCCAGTAAGGTAATGCTCAAGATCCTGCAAGGAAGACTCCAGCAATACATGGAGCGAGAGTTGCCAGATGTTCAAGCTGGGTTTAGAAAAGGCAGAGGAACGAGAGACCAGATTGCCAATATCCGCTGGATAATGGAGAAAGGCAGGGAGTTTCAGAAAAACATCTACTTCTGCTTCATTGACTATTCTAAAGCCTTTGACTGTGTGGATCATAATAAATTGTGGCAAGTTCTTAGTGGGATGGGCATCCCAAGCCCCCTTCCCTCTCTCCTGAGGAATCTGTACAAGGACCAAGTCGCAACAGTCAGAACTGACCACGGAACAACAGACTGGTTCAAGATTGGGAAAGGCGTACGGCAAGGCTGCATACTCTCACCCAACCTTTTTAACTTGTATGCAGAACACATCATGCGATGTGCGGGGCTTGATGAATGCAAAGCTGGGGTGAAAATTGCTGGAAGAAACATTAACAACCTCAGATATGCAGATGACACCACTCTGATGGCCGAAAGCGAGGAGGAACTGAGGAGCCTTCTAATCAAGGTGAAAGAAGAAAGCGCAAAAGCCGGGTTGCAGCTAAACATCAAAAAAACCAAGATTATGGCAACAAGAATGATTGACAACTGGGAAATAGAGGGAGAAAATGTGGAGGCCGTGACAGACTTTGTATTTCTAGGTGCAAAGATTACTGCAGATGCAGACTGTGGCCAGGAAATCAGAAGACGCTTCCTTCTTGGGAGGAGAGCAATGTCCAGTCTCGATAAAATAGTAAAGAGTAGAGACATCAGACTGGCAACAAAGATCCATTGCCTAGTCAAAGCCATGGTCTTCCCTGTAGTCACCTACGGATGTGAGAGCTGGACCTTAGGGAAGGCTGAGCGAAGGAAGATCGATGCTTTTGAGCTGTGGTGTTGGAGGAAAGTGCTGAGAGTGCCTTGGACTGCGAGAAGATCCAACCAGTCCATCCTCCAGGAAATAAAGCCCGACTGCTCACTGGAGGGAAGGAGACGAGAGACAAAGCTGGAGTCCTTTGGCCACATCATGAGGAGACAGCAAAGCCTAGAGAAGACAATTATGCTGGGGAAAGTGGAAGGCAAAAGGAAGAGGGGCCGACCAAGGGCAAGATGGATGGATGGCATCCTTGAAGTGACTGGACTGACCCTGAAGGAGCTGGGGGTGGTGACGGCCGACAGGGAGCTCTGGCGTGGGCTGGTCCATGAGGTCACGGAGAGTCGGAGACGACTGAACAAATGAAAAACAACATAATATAATATTGAATATATTAAATTATATTAGATAATATAATATTGGGAAAATAAAATATACCACAAAGTTATTAGTAATAATAGAAAAATAATTAGAAAAATAAAATATACTACAAAATTAATAATAATAATATTAGGAATAATAAATGTTTATATGTAATATACAATGTGGAAATTTTCTTAATTGGAAATGTAAGGTTTTAAAATTGGAACTATGTCAATCTAAAGCAATGTGTTGGGAAAATAAAATACACAACACAATTATCATTATTTTATATTAGAAATATTAGAAAAAATAGTTATATATTAGAAATATTATATAATAATAATAATTGGTAAAATAAAAGATACAACAAAATTATTATTAATAGTTGGGAAAATAAAATATACAACAAAGTTATTATTAATAGAAAAATAATTAGAAAAATAAAATATACTACAAAATTATTATTATTAATAATAATAATGATAGGAATAATAAATGTCTATATGAAATATACAGTGTGGAAATTTTCTTAATTTGAAATGTAAGGTTTTTTAAATTGGAATTATGTTTCAGAATCTAGGCATAACAATAATAATTGGGAAAATATAATATACCATAATATTATTATTAACAGCAATAATAAATCAATGTGTTGGGAAAATAAAATACACAACACAATTATTATTTTATATTAGAAATATTAGAAAAATTAATTATATATATATATATATATATATATATATATATATATAATTGGTAAAATAAAAGATACAACAAAATTATTATTAATCGTTGGGAAAATAAAATATACAACAATATTATTATTAACATAACAACAGCAACAACAGGTTGCTGTAAGTTTTTCGGACAGTGTGGCCATGTTCCAGTATAATAATTGGGAAAATAAAATATACAACAATATTATTATTAACAGCAATAATAATAACAATAATAATTGGGAAAATAAAATACACAATTATTATTATTATTTTATATTAGAAAAATTAATTACATATTAGAAATATTATATATGTGTGTGTATATATATATATATAATTGGTATATATAATTGTTAAAATAAAAGATACAACAAAATTATTAATAGTTGGAAAAATAAAATATACAACAATATTATTAACATAATAACAACAACAAACAATAACAACAATAATAGGCTGCTGTAAGTTTTTCGGGCTGCCTGGCCATGTTCCAGAATCTAGGCATAACAGTAATAATTGGGAAAATAAAATATACTATAATATTATTATTAACAGCAATAATAATAATTGCTTTAATAATTGGGAAAATAAAATATACAACAATATTATTATTAATATAACAAAAATAAAAATAATTGGGAAAATAAAATATACAACAATATTATTAGCATAATAATAATAACAACAACAACAACAGGTTGCTGCAAGTTTTTCGGGCTGCGTGGGCATGTTCCAGAATCTATGGCATAACAATAATAATTGGGAAAATAAAATATTCAACAATATTATTATTAACAGCAATAATAATAACAACAATAGTTGGAAGAATAAAATATACAACAATATTATTAACATAATAATAACAACAGTAATTGGAAAAATAAAATATACAACAAATTATTATTATTATTGTTATTATTATTATTATTTTATATTAGGAGCTTGTCTGTGTAAGTGGATACCCCAGCCACATACACACATACGTATTTTCACTTTAATTTTTATTATGTGTACAGACAGAATCATAGAGTCCTAGAGTTGGAAGAGACCTCGTGGGCCATCTAGTCCAACCCCCTACCAAGAAGCGGGAAAATCGCATTCAAATAGATAGATAGATGTGTATAGATATACGTGTATGTATATACACACACATACTCAGCCACGAGTGATTGCCCATGATATCCTATCTCTCCCTCTCTCTCTCTCTCTCTCTCTCACACACACACACATAACATTATATATGTACATTGCCTTGTTGACAATTGAAGTTTCTTAATTGAGTTTCTACATCATAGAATCACAACTTGTGGTTAAAATAGGGGGGAAAATCAGATTGTTTTTGCAAACATTATAGGAATAGCGACAACAGGCTTCCTTGAACCAAATAAAAAAACAGGAGAGGAGATGCGTTGGCTTGAGTCTCATTTAAGAAAGGAACGTAGAGTATAAATATAAGAGCAATAATAATAATAATAATAATAATAATAATAATAATAATAATAATCTTTCTTATCCATACCTATGACCTTTACCTTTGGGACCATATAACTGGGTATATATATATATAGGGATGTGTTTTTAATATATGCATTGCATTCTCTTCAGTGGGTACTGTGGTTTTGAACTTTGAATATATTTTGATGGAAGTTAACTGATTTTTCAGTGCTGTTTGTGTTTAATTCTGTTTGCACATTTGTATATATTTAATTGTATACTAATGCTTTTATGTCAAGCTGCTTTGAGTCCCCTTTGGGGAGATAAAGCAGGGTATAAATAAATAAATATAATAATCATCATCATCATCATAATATTTCGCCTCTTTGCCCATTCAAAGCATAGAGTCATCATTCTGCTTTGTTTTGCTTTTTCCGCTGACTTTGGGCTCCTTTTGTTTGTGGACCGAATGCTCAGTTTCCATAGCAAGATCTGATCCTAAAAACATGCCATTGAGAGCAATGTAATCCGCCCAATTATGGCCGGGAAAGAGGTTGGTGGTGTCTATGAAAGGAAACAATCCCTTTCAAAGTGTTATAACCATACATATTTGGCATTGGATTTGATGTCAAGATAGACTGGGTTGAGGATGCTTTCACTCTTTTGTAGAGGAGGGTAAAAATGGCGGCTCATCGTCCGCGGCGTTGGCGGCCCTGGAGGAGCCGGACAGAGCAAGTGGAAAAGGAGGAAGTGTCCGAACTGGTCGGCCGGCGGTTGGGTGACCAGGGGAAGTTTGCTTATGCGGCTCTATGCGCAGTATCCTCGGCCGCTTTGTTTCCGGAGGAAGAGGAAAGGTGAGCTTAATATGAATGTCCCATATTTGCGGACTCTAGGTCCCAGAATCCCCCGGCTAGGAATCGGATCTATCCACAAAGCAGACCAGGGTTTGAAATGATGATGGGTGGTTATACTTGTGATGAGTGGATTGAATGGAATTGTATGAATGGACATAAACAAGTCTCTCTCTCTCTCACTCACACACACATATATATACACTAGCTGTCCCCTGCCACACATTGCTGTGGCCCAGTCTGTTGATCTGGAAAATAAAATAATGAGAATGTGTTGGTTTCTAATATATGTAATTTCTTTATGCTTGTGGGTAAACAGTATTTCTTGCTGTTTCTTTGTCAGTGTTGGTGTGGAGAGTGTCCGGTTTGCCCACCCTGGAACATGCAAAATATCATTATCCTTCTTTAAGGGTCCCTTTCAAATCTATGATACTATATCTCTGTGTGTGTGAATCATATCTATCTATCTACCTATCATCTCTATCTATCTATCTATCTATCTATCTATCTATCTATCTATCTATCTATGGCTGGATGGCTTTTGATTACATTTCCTTGCCCTGGTGAAAGGAATTGGATTGGATGGCCTTAAGTATTTTCTGTTGGTCATGGAGGTTCTGTGTGGGAAGTTTGCCCCGATTCTGTTGTTCGTGGCATTCAGAACACTCTTTGATTGTAGGTGAACTGTGAATCCCAGTGAATACAACTCCCAAATGTCAAGGTCTATTTCCCAAACTCCACCGGTGTTTATATTTGGGCGTATTGAGTGCTTGTGCCAAGTTTGGTCCAGATCCATCATTGTTTGAGTCCACAGTGCTCTCTGGATGTAGGTGAACTACAAATCCCAAACTCAAGGTCAATGCCCACCAAACCCTTGCAGTATTTTCTGTTGGTCATGGGAGTGTGCCAAGTTTGCTTCAATTCCATCATTGATAGAGTTCAGAATGCTCTTTGATTGTGGGTGAAATATAAATCCCAGCAACTACAACTCCCAAATGACAAAATCATAATTTTTTGGGTGATGGTCACTCCTTGTGTTGTGAGACGTTTTGTTGCCAAATTTGGTGTGATTTCGTTCATTGGTTCTTTTGTTTTTAAGGTACTCAGTATGCACAGAGCATTTATATAGATATAGATATAGATAGATACACACACTCATATACACACACTAATTCCATATATATATATATAATATATATCTGGAATTACACATACAAATCGTTCCTGTTTCAACTTACAACAAATTCAATTTAAGAACAAACTTACAGAACCCATCTTGTTAATCCCTTTGGCTATAATTTAGGCCTGTCAACAAAGTGAAATTATAGTGCATGGCTATAATTTAGCTCTCCCAACAAAGAGCACCAGGGAATGGAAGCATGGCCTATGGCTATAATTTAGAGCTCTCACCCAAAAGGACCAGGGATTGAAAGTATGACCTATGGCTGTAATTTATATCTATCACCAGAGTGAACCAGAGCTTGACAATATGGTTCATGGTCATGCTGTAGATGTATCTAAAGGCAAGGGAAGTCTATATTTGACTTATGATAATTTTGAAATATGGGTCTGTTAGAAAGCAAAAGGAAGAGATGGCACTGGATAAAAAGGTGTGGTAAGGAAGGGAAACTGGGTAGGATGTTCTTGTAGAGAGAAACCCGGGGTATACATAAACATAATAATATATATTGTCGAAGGCTTTCATGGCCGGAATCACTGGGTTGTAGGTTTTTTCCGGGCTATATGGCCATGTTCTAGAGGCATTTGTCCCACCCTGGTCCTTCCACAGATATATAAACCCATTTTCCTACTTCCAACAGACCTCACTACCTCTGAGGATGCTTGCCATAGATGCAGGCGAAACGTCAGGAGAGAATGCCTCTCTTGAACATGGCCATATAGCCCAAAAAAACCTACAACAACCAATAATAATAATAATAATAATAATAATAATAATAATAATTTGAAGGCAGGAGAAGGAGATGATGTGGTTTCCTCCAATGCGTTCTCCCCTCTTTCCAAAGCTCTTACAGGACGGGAGTCATCGAAAGCCTGGTGCAATGGCTGGACCTCTCGGAGGCTGTTTTGCCTGCTATGGTGGCCTTTGCTGGTGGTTTGGGAGCCGAAGGGACAGAGACCTTTGCCCAGATCCTTTTGAAGGAGCCCCTTGTGAAGGAGAGCCCTGGGGTCATCACGCAGGTGAGGCATCTCTGTGCCTTTGACTCCATTAAGATAGGATTTGAATCCAGCACTTTAGAGAGCTTTTGTACAGCTAATATAGGTTCACCATCCTAGGCTAACAATGCTTAGAAAAGATCCTTTTTTTGGACTATATTATATCCACACACTCTTAATGGTCTTCCTCTAAATGTCTCTTTTTTTCTAGGACCTTGTCTCCTTTTCCTTGAAGGATGGTAAGTTTTATTAATAAATAATAACAATATGAATAGGTTTTAATGGGTTCTAAGGGTTTTAGCCTCAGAGCCTCAAGGTCAGTCACAGGAGTTGGAATCACCCTCCCTAGATAAGGGTCAAGTGAAGACAAATTGACAGGAAACTTTCACAGAAAAGCACTTGGTGATACAGACCTATGAAGGAAGCATGCTTGAAGATTAGAGCAGATAGCCAGCTTCTTAGATTTACACGGCTTCGTGGGAAGCAGAAATTCCATGGCAGACGTAATGACTTCATGTCTGTTTATTAAGAGCTAACAGACACTCTTGAGTTCAGTTCAGGCAACGTGGCGTTCAAGTTAGCAGTGTAGCGAAATTGCTACTCTATGTTAAATTTTTGGTGTATAGCTCTATGTTTACATGTGGCAGATAGGGAAGAATAGGCACAGACAGGGTAGCAATAGCAGAGATAGGATTCATTTGCATATGGAAGCCGATTGGTCATATGCAAATTAGCGTAGGCCCAGGATTTGAAAAGGTTGCTAGGCCAAAATGACAGTTGGGAGGAGAAGACCTGAACATTCCAAAGGGGCGGAGCCAAAGTTTTAAAATAGGCAGTTAGAGAGTCAAAAGAGTGAGTTAGTATTTTGCTGTTTGTGAGAAGAGTAGGAATTCCTGTTTGTGAGAGACAGTTAGGAACTTCTGTGAGAGAAAAGAGTTAGGAACTCCTGTTAGAAAGAAGCAGTTATGAAGATATGTTAAAAACTTCTGATATATATAGAAGCAGTTAGTAAAATAGAGCTCAAGTTTTAGGAACATAAAGAAAGCCAGTGGTGCTTTAGTCAGAATATAATTTCAGTCAAGACTATGTGAAGCAAGTATCATGTTTGTGAATGTGAAACATTGAAAGTCTATTTCAGAAAAGTAAACCAAGTATATTATACTGACTGTAAGCCTCAAGATTGCAACAAAATATAAATGTAACCTCAAGCGTTGGAGCCAGAAGTTATAAATAAACTGTGTTACTTCGTTATACAGAAGTGTGTCTCAGTGCCTGTACAAAGGTTAAACAGAACACAGAAAGTCCCAGCTAATATAAAAGAAGAAACTGAATCAGTATTAGAGTAAAGAGGTTTTTTATTAAATAAAGTAATAGTCTCTCTCTCCCTCAGCTAGGCCTGAGTTCTCTGGTTCAGGTTTCAAGCCTTGGTCTTGGATTTAAGTATCCGGGGAGGTCCCCCCCCCCCCCCATGTTCTTGTTTTGTATTCCTGTTTCAGTTATACCAGCTCCTCTGTAGGCCTTTCCTTTAAGAACAACAACAGCATATAATAGTAATGAAAGGCTTTGTGTTTCAGGTCACTATGATGCCCGAACCCGCGTCCTCCTTTCACATGTCACTTGGCTTTTAAAGATTCCTTTAGTGGAAATGGAGGCCTGCGAGGAATGTCTCCTCGAATGTCTGAACGAAGAACAGGAGGAGGAATCGGAGTAAGTGGAGAATAGATGTTTATGTTTTCATTAATGTGAAACCTGTGCAAAACAAGCGCTAAATTGTGTACTTTCTGGATAACAGATCCTTTAACTGTGCCTCTTGTGTCATTCCTATGGATTCCTTATATACTTTCTGTTTATCCAGTCCGTATTTTGCTCCCAATATTTCCTGGAAATGTTTTTAAAATTTGCTTTTTTTCACTATACAAGCTGCCAAACAAATGGGAATGGCTATATTGAGGGTGAGTAGAGCAAATTGCTTTAAACAATTACATAAGTGATTTCTGCTTATGAGTCTGGCCCATTTTTAGTGTTGTCCCATACCTTGTTTTGAAATCTATTCTTCTTCCTGAGGGAGTAGCAGAGCAATAATATTATATTCTTCTTGCTGAGGGAGGGCTAGAGCAACGATATTATATTCTTCTTGCTGAGGGAGGGATAGAGCAACGATATTATATTCTTCTTGCTGAGGGAGGGATAGAGCAACAATATTATATTCTTCTCGCTGAGGGAGGGGCAGAGCAACGATATTATATTATTCTTGCTGAGGGAGGGGCAGAGCAACGATATTATATTCTTCTCACTGAGGGAGGGATAGAGCAACAATATTATATTCTTCTCGCTGAGGGAGGGGCAGAGCAACGATATTATATTCTTCTTGCTGAGGGAGGGATAGAGCAACGATATATTCTTCTCACTGAGGGAGGGGCAGAGCAACAATATTATATTCTTCTTGCTGAGGGAGGAATAGAGCAACAATATTATATTCTTCTTGCTGAGGGAGGGGCAGAGCAACGATATTATATTCTTCTTGCTGAGGGAGGGATAGAGCAACGATATTATATTCTTCTTGCTGAGGGAGGGATAGAGCAACGATATTATATTCTTCTTGCTGAGGGAGGGATAGAGCAACGATATTATATTCTTCTTGCTGAGGGAGGAATAGAGCAATATTATATTCTTCTTGCTGAGGGAGGGGTAGAGTAACAATATTATATTCTTCTTGCTGAGGGAGGAATAGAGCAATATTATATTCTTCTTGCTGAGGGAGGGGTAGAGTAACAATATTATATTCTTCTTGCTGAGGGAGGAATAGAGCAATATTATATTCTTCTTGCTGAGGGAGGGATAGAGCAACGATATTATTATCTTCTTGCTGAGGGAGGAATAGAGCAATATTATATTCTTCTTGCTGAGGGAGGGGTAGAGTAACAATATTATATTCTTCTTGCTGAGGGAGGGATAGAGCAACAATATTATATTTTTCTTGCTGAGGGAGGGATAGAGCAATGATATTATATTCTTGCTGAGGGAGGAATAGAGCAATATTATATTCTTCTTGCTGAGGGAGGAATAGAGCAATATAATATTCTTTTTGCTGAGGGAGGGATAGTGCATTGGGCTTTCTACTTTAGTTGGTGGTTATCTTGCCACGTGAGAGAAAAAAGAACTCATAATAATAATAACAACAATGCAAATAACAACAACAACCCTCTCAGAACGGCCGAGGCATCCAGGAAGAAAAAAGAAAAGAGGAAGAGGCTGAAACGCTACCTTCTGATTGGCTTGGCAACAGTTGGAGGCGGGACTGTGATTGGTGAGTCTGCCCTTCCTATTGGTGCCAATAGGGAAGCATGCATCTGGTGTCTCTTAAGAATTTGCAAGGTCCCTCATGCAATTCTATTATTATTATTATTATTATTATTATTATTATTATTATTATTAGGGTGCTATAAGTTAATTATTATTATTATTGCTATTATGTTTGGGTTGCTGAGAGTTTTCCAGGCTGCCTGGCCATGTTCCGGAAGCATTCTCTCCTGACGTTTCGCATCTATGTCAGGCATCCTCAGAGGTTGTGAAGTCTGTTGGAAACTGGGCAAGTGGGATTGATATATATCCCTGTGGAATAATGTCCAGGGTGGAAGAAAGAACTCTGGTCTGTTGGAGGCATGTGGGAATGTTGCCATTGGCAAGCTTGATAAGCATTGAATAGGCTTACAGCTGCAAAGTCAGTTGGTGAGGATATCTGCATAAAGGTCTGTTGGAAATGAGGCAAGTGGATTGTATATATCCCTGTGGAATTATGTCCACCAGCTTGAATTGCCCATGTTGTATGGCTCTGGGATCAGGATGTTGTCCGGACTCGGACTGGCCATGGAATATCTTCTGGATTATGTGATTTTAATGGATGTTTTAATGTTGTGTTCTGATTGGTTTGGTTTTAATTCAGTGGTTCTCATTTTTTTTTAAACCCGGGACCCATAAATATGGTTCCTCATGTTGTGGTGACCCCCAACCATAAAATTATTTTCGTTGCTCCTTTATAACTTTTTTTTTTTGGTTGTGTCAGGAGCGACTTGAGAAATATAACTGTAATTTTGCTACTGATACAAATCGTAATGTAAATATCTGATATGAAGGATGTGTTCTCATTGTTACAAATTCAACATAATTAAAGCATCATGATTAATCAGAAAAAAATATGTTTGGGGGAATATGGAAAACAGATGATGGGATGTGCAGTACCTTCAACCGATTCAGAGCTGACTTCCACAGACCACTGAGACCTCCACACAGAACTCCCATGTCAAACAAAAAATACTGGAGGGGTTCGGGAGGAATTGACAGAGAGATAGCGAGGCAGGCGAGGCAGGCTTTGCGCGATGCCAGGCCTTGCGCGGAGCACCCTTCGCCTACCCCATGCCCTCGCTGGATGGCTAGAGAGCAGGGCAGGCTTTGCGTGGAGCACCCTTTGCCTGCCCCGCACCCTCGCCAGATTGCGAGAGAGCGAGGAAGGCGAGGCGGGCTTTGTGCGAGGCCAGGCCTCGTGCAGAGTACCCTTCGCCTACTTCACGCCCTCGCTGGATGGCGAGAGAGCAAGGCAGGCAAGGGAGGCTTTGCGCAAGGCCAGGCCTCGCGCGGAGGACCCCTCGCCTGGCTGTGCCCTTGGGGTGGGGCCAACGGAGGCAGCCTTGCGACCCCTCCAAAATGGCCAGGTGACCCCCCTGGGGGTCGCAACCCCCAGGTTGAGAACCGCTGTTTTAATTGATTCTGTTTATATACCAATGTATTGTATGCATGGCTTTTGTAAGACTGTCCTGCGTCCCCTTCGGGCTTGTGAAGGAGATAAGAGGGGTGAATAAATAAATAAACTGGATGCCTTAAAAAGTCATAGAGGAGAGACCTATCGAAGAGAGCCTGCATTGAGTGGGGAAAGGGGAGTCAGGCTAGATGGCCTTTGGGAGTCTCTTCGACTCAAAGGACTCTATATGATTCTCCCGTTTCCATGATTCTTCTTTCTTGTGCCTGGTCATGTATGTGATGTAATTTAAGCCGTTCTGAAATGTCTTTCCCAAGGTCTGACGGGCGGCCTGGCTGCCCCTCTAGTAGCGGCCGGGGCGGCCACTGTCATTGGAAGCGCAGGCGCCGCAGCCTTGGGTTCGGCGGCTGGGATCGCCGTCATGGCCTCGCTCTTTGGAGCCGCTGGAGCCGGACTCACCGGTAAGGCCATGCCTGGACCCTCCCCCTCCCCACACACCATTGAATGAATGTAGTTGGATACGGCTTTAACTGCCATGGTTCCCTATGACATTTAGGGTACAAGATGAAGAAACGAGTGGGAGCCATCGAGGAGTTCGAGTTCCTTCCCTTGACGGAAGGCAGGCAGCTCCACATCTGCATTGCCATCACCGGCTGGCTTTCCACCGGAAAATACGGTCAGAAACATAAGATCTTTTCAATCGATGGCATATCTTCCCCTTGAGAAGTTAAGACTGTGAAATATTTCTTAATTAATTAATTAACAACATTTATATGCTGCCCTTTTCACCCCGAAGGGGACCCAGAGCTGCTTACATGTTATATGTAAATACAATATATTATATTATAAGCATAGCACAATATTAGTAACATACATTCCCATATTGTACTACACCAGTATACTGTAATATTATTAGTAATATTACATATAATATGAAATATATAATTATTATATTGTATTATTATTATTAGTATTATATTGTATTACATTATATATTATTAATATTGTTGTTCATTCGTTCATATCAATATTATATATGTATACAATATATTATATTATAAGCATAGCACAATATTAGTATTATGTATTATTATATTGTACTATACCACTATACTGTAATGTTATTAGTAATATTACATGTAATATAAAAATATAATTCTTAGATTTTATTATTATTATATTACATGATAATATTATTATCAATATTATATGTGTATACAATATATTATATTATTAGCACAGCACAATATTAGTATTATGTATTCCTATATTGTACTATACCACTATACTGTAATATTATTAGTAATATTACATGTAATATAAAATATATAATTATTATATTGTATTATTATTAGTATTATTATCAATATATGTGTATACAATATATTATATTATTAGCACAGCACAATATTAGTATTATGTATTACTATATTGTACTATACTGTAATATTATTAGTAATATTACATATAATATAAAAATATAATTCTTAGATTTTATTATTATTATATTACATGATAATATTATTATCAATATTATATGTGTATACAATATATTATTACCACAGCACATCAGTAATATATCAATACTTCTTAACATACGTATTCATCTATTTATCTAGTATCTATCTATCTTTAAACTCTATCTACTCTATCACACTATCTCAGCCTCAGAAATCATATCCTTTGGAGCTAATCTCACCAAGGAAACCCTGTAACAAAGTCATTAAGAAGCGGACACGGCTGGAAAGTTAGTTGTAAATTGTATCCAGAAGCAACTTAGTAGCCGAATATCTGATCTGATAATCTTGTTCGATATTGATTTTTCTGAATGTTTCTACCTTTAGGGAGTTTTACGGCTCCATGGAGCACCTTGCTGCAGTCCAAAGAGCAGTATTGCTTAGCCTGGGAATCCAAGTACCTGATGGAGCTGGGCAATGCCCTGGACTCCTTGCTGAACGGCCTGGTCAACATGGTGGCGCAGGAAGCCCTGAAGTACACGGTTTTGGCCGGTGAGTCTCTTTCGGCATCTCTAAGTCTTTCGTGTTGGTAGGTCACCATATTGCCAGACTTCGGTCTCTCCCCTGACTCCATTGCTGGGTTTCAGAATAACTACAAAAGGGGAATGATTCAATTTACTCAGCATTCACTTACATACATTTTCTCATTCATACTCACCATCCTTCTTCATTCAGTTGATCAGGCATTTGGAAGGAAGGAAGCAGGTGTTGAAATGCCGCATTCCTTACGGATCTGGCTGTTAGGAATCAGCCTGTGTTTGTGTTTCAGGATCCTGATGTGGGAAATGATGAGGAAATGATGGTGCTGAGGCTGAGGTACAAGATGGAGATGGTTTGGTCAATGATTTTCATACAGACAATGACAGAGAGGCCCCAGTGCAAAGGGCAGTTTCTCATGAGAATATCCCTGCTGGGCCTAGCAATGATGGTTCACTCCCTCTCTTTGTGAGCTCTCAAGATTTGGGTTTGGAAAACAATCTGACACCTGGGAATTTTAATGAGCAGCCAGATAGGGAGCTGAAGAATAGGTGGCTGGAGATTAGCCAGGATCGACAGCAAACTCAGTGTTTACGTCGCTCTGAAAGGCTTCATCTGATAAGGGGTAAATGTGGGGGAAAGTGAAACCAATTCCTGAGTTTCGGGATATAAGTTTTGCCTCAAGGGGAAACCTGTTAGATCAGGCATCGTTTGGAAACCAAGTTCATGTGCCATGGAAATCCTGTTCAAGGGGTCTTGTTCCTGTGGAGTTTTTTTAGCCTTTTGGATTGTCTTTGCATCTTGTTGATTCCTGTCTGGATAAATGCTGTCTTGGATTGCTTTTATATCTGGTGTGGACATTTCTCTGAGTTTAACTCGGGCCTCTCGTCTGAGCTTAACTCGGGCCCAAGCAAAACCCATCATGAACATCAGCATTAAGAAGAGCATCAGACACAATCACAGGCTGAACAGGCTGACATACAACAACATTGCCTTTGACTGTGTAAACAAGTGTTGTTTACACCTAAAGTTCTCATTAGCGCTCATTCTCTGGAATTCTCATTCTTCACCTCCTCCATAATGCTGTTTTCAGGCTCCATTTTTAGAATGGTGTCTTCAACCTTGCCTGAACTCAATAAGCCCTAGCCAGACCCCAATCATACAATTTCATTCAATCTAGGGATCGTCACGGCCCTGACCTGGCCGGCTTCGCTACTCACGGTGGCCAGCGTGATCGATAACCCTTGGGGCGTCTGCCTACATCGTTCCGCTGAAGTCGGGAAACAGTTGGCGCAGATACTCCTCGGGCGGCACCAGGTAGGTGGGTGGCGGCGGCGGAAATGGGGCCTGTTCTGGGATAGATAAGGAGTTGGAGAGGGGCCCCTTGAAGTCATCTAGTCCAACTTCCCCCTCAGTGTAGGATCATACTACTACTACTACTACTACTACTATTATTATCATTATTATTACTACTACTACTACTACTACTACTACTACTGGCAGTCCCTGAGTTACTCACAAACAAGTCCTAGTTAAGAATAGGGCTGAGACAACAGGAACTGAGAGAAATCTTATATATTACTAGCCGTCCCCTGCCACGCGTTGCTGTGGCCCACATGGGGGTTCTGTGTGGGAGGTTTGGCCCAATTCTATCATTGGTGGGGTTCAGAATGCTCTGTGATTGTAGGTGAACTATAAATCCCAGCAACTACAACTCCCAAATGTCAAGATTCTATTTTCCCCAAACTCCATCACATTTGGGCATATTGAGTATTTGTGTAGAGTTTGGTCCAGATCCATCATTGTTTGAGTCCACAGTGATCTCTGGATGTAGGTGAACTACAACTCCAAAACCAAAGGACACTGCCCACCAAACCCTTCCAGTATTTTCTGTTGAGCATGGGAGAACTGTGTGCCAAGTTTGGTTCAATTCCATCGTTGGTGGGGTTCAGAATGCTCTTTGATTGTAGGTGAACTATAAATCCCAGCAACTACAACTCCCAAATGACAAAATCCATTTTTTTGAGTGAAGGACATACATTGGGTTGTTAGGTGTCCTGTGTCCAAATTTGGTGTCAATTCATCCAGTGGTTTTTGAGTCATGTTAATACCACAAACGAACATGACATTTTTATTTATATAGATTCGTATTACTATAATAATAATAATAATAATAATAATAATAATAATACTTTATTTATATACCGCTCCATCTCCCCGAGGGGACTCAGAGCGGTTCCCAGGTAACATCACAAAACATACAAAGTAAAACAACATAACCATAAGATTAACAGAACAAAATATAAGCATAAAAATTGTCGCCATAACATACATATATTAAAAGTAATCCTGCCTGTTCAAGGCAATTAAAAAATTTTAAAAGGCCGGGCCAAGATTTGTGCAAACCCAAAAATTCTAGGGGGCCCGGGAATTAAGTGCAATGCTATGGCAGGCAATAATAATATTAGGTATAGGATCAAATAGCATAATAATAATAATAATAATAATAATAATAATAATAATAATAATAATCCAAAATAATAAATATATCAACTATAATAGGCTTTAAGTCAGTGATATAAAAAGCCTCTTTTTGGCTGATATAGGCGGTATACAAAAGGAGTAAATAAATAAATAAATAATAAATGACACATAAAAATCTATCTGTGGCTGTTCATTCCAGAGCTGATTAGAGGAAAGAATCTGGGTCATTGGTAGGAAGAATAAGGCTGTATTCGACAATGTGTGGGGCTGAGTTAGAACTGGTCATTTTCAAAGGCTTGTTGAAACCACCAGGTCTTCAAGCTCTTACGAAAGGAGGGGAGGGATGGGGCCTGTCTTATTTCCCTTGGAAGGGCGTTCCAGAGGCAGGGGGCCACCACCGAGAAGGCCCTCTCTCTCGTCCCCACCAACTGTACTTGAGACAATAGTGGGACCAAAAGGAGGGCCTCCCCAGAAGATCTTAGAGCTCGCGCTGGTTCATAGAAGGAGATGCGATCGCGGAGATAGGCATGACCCGAACCGTTTTATTTATTTATTTATTTATTTCAAAGTTTTCTATACCGACCTTCTCACCTCATTGAGGGACTCAGCCCGGTTTCCAACCATAAAAACACATACAATCAGTAAAATATCATAGTTCACAATTACAGTAACACATTTAAAATAACAATATATTTAAAACTACGGTGGTCAGTCGTCATATTAAAATCAAATATACATCATCTTCCATCCAAAATCCTAGGGTGTTGTCTCATTCATCGAAAGCCTGTCTCCACAACCACGTCTTCACCCGTTTCCTAAATGTCAGGATAGACGGGGCGGTTCTGACCTCCAGTGGGAGAGAGTTCCAGAGTCGCGGGGCCACCACCGAGAAGGCCCTGTCCCTCGTCCCCACCAGACGCGCTTGCGAGGCCGGTGGGACCGAGAGCAGGGCCTCTCCAGACGATCTTAATAATCTTGATGGTTCATAGGGGAGAATACGTTCGGAGAGGTAAACAGGGCCGGAGTCGTTTAGGGCTTTATAGGTTAACACCAGCACTTTGAATTGTGCTCGGAAGCTAATTGGCAGCCAGTGGAGCTGGTGTAACAGCAGAGTGGTGTGCTCCCTGTACCCAGTACCCATTAGTAATCTGGCTGCCAGCGTTGGACTAGCTGCAGCTTCCGAGCAGTCTTCAGAGGCAACCCCACATAGAGAGCGTTGCAGTAATCTAAGCGGGATGTAACCAAAGCGTGGACTACCGTGGCCAAGTCAGACTTCCCAAGGTACGGGCGCAGCTTAAGGCTTTATAGGTCATGACTTGCACCTTGAATTTGGCTCAGCAACTTATTGACAGCCAATGAAGCTGTTTTAATAGGAGTATTGCATGCTCCCTATACTTTGCTCCAGTAAGGAGCCTGGCTGCCGCCCGCTGTACTAGTTCAAACTTCCGGGCCGTCTTCAAGGGCAGCCCCACATAGAGCGCATTGCAGTAGTCCAGTTTGGATGTAACCACAGCATGGACCACCCTGGCCAAGTCAGACTTCAGGAATGGTCGCAGCTGGCGCACAAGTTTGAGCTGTGCAAAGGCTGACACCTGAGGATCCCCAAGCTATGGACCTGCGCCTTCAGGGGGAGCGTAACCCCGTCGAGCACAGGTTGCCACCCAATACCTCGGTCGACCCCACGACTGACCAGGAGGACCTCTGTCTTGTCTGGATTAAGCTTCAACCTGTTAGCCCTCATCCAGTCCATTACCGCAGTCAGACACTGGTTCAGGTTCTGGGAGGCTTCCTTGGAATTCGGTGGAAATGAGTAGTGGAGTTGGATGTCATCTGCGTACAGATGGCACCCAACTCCAAAACTCCGGATGACCTCACCCAGCGGTTTCATGTAGATATTGAAAAGCATGGGGGACAGAATGGAACCTTGCGGGATCCCATTATTTCATATATACACAGGCAGTAAGAAGCCAGACCTTGAAAACTGCTAAGCCATTAAATGCTAAGGATGGTGGCCAGTGGAAACATTCACACTTGCCTCAAACAGACAAGACTTCTTTCTCCCACCCTGGACATCATTCCACAGATATATAAACCCCACTTGCCTAGTTTCCAGCAGACCCCTCAACCTCTGAGGATGCCTGCCATAGATGCGGGCGAAACGTCAGGAGAGAATGCTGCTGGAACATGGCCGGACAGCCCAGGAAACACACAATAATCCAAACATAATAATAATAATAATAATAATAATAATAATAATATAGAATCATGGTTGGAAGAGACCTCATGGGCCATCCAGCCCAACCCCATTCTGCCAAGAAGCAGGAAAATTGCATTCAAAGCACCCCCAACAGATGGTCATCCTGCCTCTGTTTAAAAGCCTTATATATAATATATATAATATATTATATGTAATGTATAAGTAATAATATTTAGTAATATATAATAATATATAATATATTAATAACAATAGTGTATAATAATCTATATAAATAAAAATGTAATGTTTGTTAGTGGGATTAACAGAACTCAAAAACCATTGTACAAATTGACACCAAATTTGGACAGCGTACACCTAACAACCCAATGTATGTCCTTCACTCAAAAAAATGATTTTCTCATTTGGGAGTCGTAGTTCCTGGGATTTATAGTTCACCTACAATCAAAGAGCATTCTGAACTCCACCAACGATGGAATTGAACCAAACGTGGCATACAGTGACAGAAATCACTAGAAGGGTTTGGTGGGCATTGACCTTGAGTTTGGGAGTTGTAGTTCACTTACATCCAGAGAGCACTGTGGAATCAAACAATGATGGATCTGGACCAAACTTGGCACAAATATTCCATATGCCCAAATATGAACACAGATGGAGTTTGGGGGAAACAGACCTTGACATTTGGAAATTGTAGTTACTGGGATTTATAGTTCGCCTACAATCACAGAGCATTCTAAACCCCAACAACAATGGAATTGGGCCACACAGAACCCCCATGTGGGCCACAGCAATGCGTGGCAGGGGATGGCTAGTGTATAATAAATATAGTAATATATAATATATAGTAATGTATAATAATATGTAATATATAAATAAAGTGAGATATATATATATATATATAAAATAACTTGGTTGTCCAGTGTGTGATCCAATACAACAGTCAGTATAGTGATCTTGCTTGCTGTGTGCTAATCTTGTTGTGTTTCAAATAATAATAATAATAATAATAATAATAATAATAATAATAATAGTGTTACATGGTGTCATTTGAGGAACTTCCCCTATAGTTCAGTGTCCCGGATTCGACTCAGTGGACTCATTTCCTGGGACATTTAGAGATTCTTAGGCCTGGGTTTTGGTAGCGGGTTGGACTAGATGACCCCTGGGGGTCCCTTTTGAATCCACCCGTGAAAGAAATAAGACAGTTTTTTTCCCATTTTTTTAGGGCAGGCGGCCAGTGACCTTGATCGGCTTCAGCCTGGGGGCCAGGGTCATCTATTTCTGCCTCCAGGAAATGGCTAAAGAGGAAGGTGAGAGTGCGGAAGGCGCACAACGGTTGCCTTGCGTTACTGTTCTGCATCGGATTTTGCTGTTGGCGGATGGCACTCTCCGTCAGGCGTCTGGCGCCTCCCTCCTCCTTCTCAGACCCACACAGGGTCTCTGCGGGGGTCACTGTGGCTAGCAAGTCTTCCCAAGTCTCCCACGGAGCTCCTTCCAAGATGTAAACTGTGTTGCGCTTCTCCTTTCAATCCCCTTTCGTCTCCTTTGCTCTCTCGTCCTTCCTCCTCCCTCCTTTCCGCATCCATCCATCTGCCGGCTTCTTGTATTAATAGTGTGCTGGCAACAACAACAACACAAAAACCCTCCAGATTTGGTTTGTGATCGTCATTGCAAGGGAGAGAAAATTATCCCCATTGAGTCATTAGCACCACGGCTGTCTCTCCGCGTGTTTTCCTCCGTCAGCTCCATCGAGGACAGCGCGTACCCAGGGATCGGGGCCAAAAACACAACCCCGCTGCGGGCGGCTGCCAACCTGTCGAGGGCTGCGAAGCTCATCCGCTCTCTGGGCAGAACCTGCCATCTCGACACTTTAGGAACTATTAAGGCCAATTAGTCCAATCCCATCTACCCCAGGGATCCTAGAGACTTTGGTGACTCTAAAGGCCATCCAATCCAACCCCAAAATGTTCAAGATGAGTATTTTACAGAACTCTAAAGGCCACCCAGTCAAACTGCATCCAGTCCCAAGAACCCGATGGTTTTCGGGAACTCTAAAGGCCATCCAGTCCAACCCCAAACAGTTCAAGGATTCTAACTTTTTAGGGGACTCTAAAGGCCTCCGGTGGCGCAGTGGGTTAAAGCACTGAGCTGCTGAGCTTGTTGATCGAAAGGTTGCAGGTTCGATTCTGGGGAGCGGCGTGAGCTTCCGCTGTCAGCCCTAGCTTCTGCCAACCTACCAGTTCGTTCGAAAACATGCAAATGTGAGTAGATCAATAGGTACCGCTCCGGCGGGAAGGTAACGGCGCTCCATGCAGTCATGCCGGCCACATGACCTTGGAGGTGTCTACGAACAACGCTGGCTCTTCGGCTTAGAAATGGAGATGAGCACCACACCCCAGAGTCAGACATGACTGGACTTAATGTCAGGGGACTACCTTTACCTTTACCTTAAAGGCCATCCAGTCCCAAGAATCAGAGTGTTTTCGGGAACTATAAAGACAATCCAGTTCAACCCCAAACAGTTCAGGATGAGTGTTTTCAGGAACTCTAAAGGCCATCCAGTCCAACCCCATCCAGTCCAGGAATCCGAGCATTTAGGGAACTCTAGAGGCCATGCAGTCCAAGGATGCTAGAGTTTTGGGGGACTCTAAAGGCCATCTGGTCCAACCCCACCCAGTCCAAGAATCTGAGTGTTTTGGGGGACTTGAGAGGCCATCCTGCCCAACCCCATCCAGTCCAAAGATACTAGCGTTTTAGGAGACTCTAATGGCCATCCAGCCCAACCTCAGTCTAGTCCAAGAATTTGAGCATTTTAGGGAACTCTAAAGACCATCCAGTCCAACCACATTCATTCCCATGAATTTGAGCATTTTCGGCAACTCTAAAGGCCATCCAGTCCAACCCCAAACAGTTCAAGGATTCTAGTATTATAGGGGTTCTCTAAAAGCCATCCAGTCCAACCGCCTTTCTGCAGTGCAAGGATACACAATCCAAGCCCTCCCAACTGATGGCCATCCAGCCTCTGTTCAAAAGTCTCCAAAGCAAAATATCTAACTCTTTTGCCTCTTAGATTGCAGAGGGATCGTGGAAGACGTTGTGCTCCTTGGGGCACCAGTGGAAGGAGACGCTAAGCACTGGAAGCCCTTGGCTAGAGTTGTCTCGGGGAGGATTATCAATGGCTTCTGCAGGTCCGTGGCTCAGGATACGTATAACTTTCCCTCTTCTCTAATTTGGAATGTGCATTGTGTTTCCAACTTGAGGGGACCCTGTCATTGATTGGTTCAGAGAAGGTGTGCCTTTGCCTCTTTCCCAGGTGGTGGAGAGTGTGATTCTCAGTAGGTTCAGAGAAGGCATGCCTTTGCCTCTTTCCCAAGTGGAGAGAGAGCATGATTCTCAGTAGGTTCAGAGAAGGCATGCCTTTGCCTCTTTCCCAAGTGGAGAGAGAGCATGATTCTCAGTAGGTTCAGAGAAGGCATGCCTTTGCCTCTTTCCCAGGTGGAGAGAGCGCAACTCTTAGTAGGTTCAGAGAAGGTTTGTCTTTGCTTCTTTCCGAGGGGGAGAGAGCATGACTCCCAGTAGGTTCAGAGAAGGTTTTCCTTTGCCTCTTTCAGAGGTTGAGAGAACATGACTCTCAGTAGGTTCAGAAAAGGCATGCCTTTGCCTCTTTCCCAGGAGGAGAGAATGCTACTCTTAGTAGGTTCAGAGAAGGTGTGCCTTTGCCTCTTTCCAAGGTGGAGAGAGGATGACTATCAGTAGATTCAGAGAAGGTTTTCCTTTGCCTCTTTCCAAGATTGAGAGAATGTGACTCTCAGATAAGGTGTGCCTTTGCCTCTTTCCGAGGTGGAGAGAGTGTGACTCTCAGTAGGTTGAGAGAAGGTGTACCTTTGCCTCTTTCCAAGGTGGAGAGTGTGTGACTGTCAGGTTGAGAGAAGGTGTGCTTTGCCTCTTTCCTAGATGGAGGGAGCGTGACTCAATAGGTTGAGAGAAGGTGTGCCTTTGCCTCTTTCCGAGGTGGAGAGAGCGTGACTCTTAGGTTCAGAGAAGGCATGCCTTTGCCTCTTTCCAAGGTGGAGAGAGCGTGACTCCCAGTAGGTTCAGAGAAGGTTTTCCTTTGCTTCATTCAGAGATCGAGAGAACATGACTCTCAGTAGGTTCAGAGAAGGTGTGCCTTTGCCTCTTTCCAAGGTGTAGAGAGCATGACTCTCAGTAGGTTCAGAGAAGGTTTTCCTTTGCCTCTTTCTGAGATTGATAGAATATGACTCAGAGAAGGTGTGCCTTTGCCTCTTTCCGAGGTGGAGAGAGCGTGACTGTCAGGTTCAGAGAAGGTGTGCCTTTGCCTCTTTCCAAGGTTGAGAGAGCGTCACTCCCAGTAGGTTCAYGTGTGTTCCTTTGGCTCTTTCAGAGGTTGAGAGAATGTGACTCTCAGAGAAGGTGTGCCTTTGCCTCTTTCCGAGGTGGAGAGAGTGCGACTCTCCYTAGGTTCAGAGAAGGTTTTCCTTTGCCTCTTTCTGAGATTGAGAGAATATGACTCTCAGAGAAGGTGTGCCTTTACCTCTTTCCGAGGTGGAGAGAGCGTGACTGTCAGGTTCAGAGAAGGTGTGCCTTTGCCTCTTTCCAAGGTTGAGAGAGTGTCACTCCCAGTAGGTTCAGGTGTGTTCCTTTGGCTCTTTCAGAGGTTAAYGGAATATGACTCTCAGAGAAGGTGTTCCTTTMCCTCTTTCCGAGGTGGAGAGAGTCTTAATAGGTTCAGAGAAAGTGTGTCTTTGCCTCTTTCRGAGGTGGAGAGAACGCGACTCTCAGTAGGTTCAGAGAAGMCGTGCCTTTGCCTCTTTCCAAGGTTGCAAGAGCGTTACTCCCAGTAGGTTCAACGGTGTCCCTTTGGCTCTTTCRGACATTGAATGTGACTCTCATTGGTTCAGAGAAGGTGTACCTTTGCCTCTTTCAGAGGTTGAGAGAGCATGACTCAGTGGGTTTAAAGAAGGCGTGCCTTTGGCTCTTTCTGACGTGTAGAGAGCGTGACTCTCAGTGGGTTTCCATAACCGAGCAGTGATTCGAGAGTCCCCAGAGTAACTTTGCAGCAAAAGAATGTGAGCTGAGCACAAAGGGGGAAAGTGGAGAGAGAAACCGGGACGTTTTATAAACAGCGGATAAGATGGGAAAACAGAGGGCTAATTGGGTCATATTTGGTTTGGATCTGGATCCAGTTCTATAATTACAGCTCACTTGTTGGTTGGCTTAACTTTCTTATTTTCCTTCCATTTTGATTCCAAGGGGAGACTGGCTCCTGCGCTTTGTGTACCGGACGTCCTCTGTCAAGCTCAACGTGGCCGGGCTCCAGCCAGTCGACCTCAATGACCGGCGGATGATGAACGTGGACCTCTCCTCCGTAGTGAGTTCCATTTGTGAGATGGGGCAGGGCGGGGGGAACATCAACTGCTGAGCTCCCATTTTGGAGAGACGTTCAGAGCCCTTCGAATCATAGAATCTCATTGTGAGGAGCTGCACGTTGTTGCCTCCGCTCTTCCTCCTCCCTGCTTGGTAGTCCTTCCCTTCGCTTCTCGAAGCCGAAAGACTGTCACCCGCTGGTAACTTTTGTCGTTTGCGGCCGCCTTGCCTATAAATAGCAACCGGTGGAAGCTCGCCTTCCGTGACTCGGAAGACGTGGGCTGTGGTCCACGCAAGCCGAGTTGAGCCTGCCAACTCAAATGCTTTTTGGTAAGATCGGGTGACATTTCGGAGCAATGACAACCTGTGGCGGCTGCTTTGGGAGAACGGGGAAAGAGAATGGCTCTTTTGGAACACCCCCCCCCCCCCACCCCCAATATTGCATTTTGGTCACCTCTGCCCTCAGGTTATAATATAATATAATATAACATAATATAATATATTGTATATACGTATAATATTTATAATATTTTAATGTAATGCAATATAATAATAATAATATGATATTATAATTATATATTTATATTACATGTAATATTACTAATAATATTGCATTTTGGTCACCTCTGCCCTCAGGTTATAATATAATATAATATAATATAGGTTGTTGTAGGTTTTTTCAGGCTGTATGGCCATGGTCTAGAGGCATTCTCTCCTAACGTTTCACCTGCATCTATGGCAAGCATCCTCAGAGGTAGTGAGGTCTGTTGGAACTTGGAAAAATGGTTTATAGATCTGTGGAGTGACCAGGGTGAGACAAAGGACTCTTGTCTGCTGGAGCTAGGTGTGAATGTTTCAGCTGACCACCTTGATTAGCATACAATGGGCTGACTGTGCCTGGAGCAAACTTTTGTTGAGAGGTAATTAGATGTCCCTGCCTGCTTCCTCTCTGTTGTTGTGCTGTTGCAATTTTAAATTTTAAAGTGTGTATATCAAATTTAAATTTTAAAGTGTGTATATCAAATGGCCACCTTGATTAGCATTGAATGGCGTTGCAGTTTCCAAGGTGTGGCTTCTTACTGCCTGAGGGAATTCTTTGTTGAGAAGTGTTTCTTGTCTGGGTGGGAGAAAGAACTCTGGTGTGTTTGAGATAGGTGTGTATATCAAATGGCCACCTTGATTAGCATTGAATGGCCTTGCAGTTTCCAAGGTGTGGCTTCTTACTGCCTGGGGGAATCCTTTGTTGGGAGGTGTTTCTTGTCTGGGTGGGAGAAAGAACTCTGATGTGTTTGAGGTAGGTGTGAATGTAGCAAATGGCCACCTTGATCAACATTGAAAGCCCTTGCAGTTTCCAAGGTGTGGCTTCTTACTGCCTGGGGGAATCCTTTGTTGAGAGGTGTTTCTTATCTGGGTGGGAGAAAGAACCATGGTGTGTTTGAGGGAGGTGTGAATGTAGCAAATGGCCACCTTGATCAACATTGAAAGGCCTTGCAGTTTCCAAGGTGTGGCTTCTTACTGCCTCGGGGAATCCTTTGTTGAGAGGTGTTTCTTGTCTGGGTGGAAGAAAGAACTGTGGTGTGTTTGCGGTAGGTGTGAATGTAGCCAATGTCCACCTTGATCAACATTGAAAGACTTTGCAGTTTCCAAGGTGTGGCTTCTTACTGCCTGGGGGAATCCTTTGTTGGGAGGTGATTCGTTGACTACGCAGAGAAACCATTGAAATCCACAATCAAAAGACAATAGGCCTTTCAAGAATAGAGAGATGCCTCCCGCCCGCTGTTCTCTCCCCATATAATTTCATGTCTTCTTTTCCCTTTGTGCGAAATCCCAAGTGACTGATGGCAAATGAAATAAATAAGCCAGAAATATCACATTTCAATGCAGAAGCGTAGGAATCGCAGCACAAAAGCGCCCGTGACCTCACTTGCCAAGGGGAAAAATATATCAGAGTTTTTATTGTTTCACGTTGATTCCGTTTTAACCCCCTCCGATTTCCCCCCAAATTTCCCCAGTTTTTCCATTCCAAAAAATAGGTTTCGGGTTTCGGAACGATCCTTGCTCATTAAAGTTGTAATCTCTTCCATCTGAAAAATATGGGACCGATTTTGGGCCAGATGGGGTTGCAGATTGCTTGGGAAAAGCCGTGGGTCCAGAAAGGAATAAATTGAACGAACGAAAATTGAAATGGGAAGCATCTCGAGTCTGTGCCAAGCTCCAAATGTCAGAGTGTTTTGAATATGGTTTCTATCCAAAAGGAACAAAGAAGGCTTCACTTGTCGTTGGTAGACGAGCCCAAGCTGTTGGAGAGAGCCTCTCTAGACAGGAGCAGTCTACATTTTAATTCAAAACCATGTTTGCAGAGAAGCATTGTCCTTCGTTTCTGGACTGCCACTCCCACTATGAGAAGGCCTAGTGTGAGAAGTTTTAGTTCGCCTCAGTGTTAGTTGCCCTCAGTATGAAGAGGCTTCAGTCTGAGAGAGGCCTCAGTGTGAGATTTTGCTGAGAAGGGCCTCAGTGCGTTAGTAGGCCTCAGTATATGTAGACTTCCATGTTAGTTTGCCTCACTGTGAGAGAGGCATCAGTCTGAGAGAGGCCTCTGAGAGATTTTGCTGAGAAGGGCCTCAGTGCGTTAGTAGGCCTCAGTATATGTAGATCTCCATGTTAGTTTGCCTCAGTGTGAGAGAGGCATCAGTCTGAGAGAGTCCTCAGCGTGAGGTAGGCCTCAGTGGGAGAAAGGTCACAGTGCGAGGTAGGCCTGGTGTGAGAAGCTTTAGTACGCCTCAAAGTTAGTTGCCCTCAGTATAGAGAGGCTTCAGTCTGAGAGGCCACAGCCTGGGAGAGGCCTCAGTGTGAGGTAGACCTCAGTGAGAAGCTTTAGTTCGCCTCAGTGTTAGTTGCCCTCAGTATGAAGAGGCTTCAGTCTGAGAGAGGCCTCAGTGAGAGATTTTGCTGAGAAGGGCCTCACCGCATTAGTAGACCTCAGTATATGTAGACCTCTATGTTAGTTTGCCTCAGTATGAGAGAGGCATCAGTCTGAGAGAGACCTCAGTGTGAGGTAAGCCTCAGTGGGAGAAAGGTCACAGTGTGAGGTAGGCCTGGTGTGAGAAGCTTTAGTACGCCTCAAAGTTAGTTGCCCTCAGTATGGAGAGGCTTCAGTCTGAGAGGCCACAGCCTGAGAGAGGCCTCAGTGTGAGGTAGACCTCAGTGAGAAGCTTTAGTACGCCTCAGTGGTAGTTGCCCTCAGTATGAAGAGGCTTCAGTCTGAGAGAGGCCTCAGTGTGAGATTTTGCTGGTTGGAGAATTCTGGGAATTAGATGTCATAAATATTAAAAAATTAACTCTGTGTTTTTAATCACAAAAATATGAGTCAAGCACTGAAAGGGTTAAATGGATGCAATGTGGGAGAAGGGCCTCAGTGCGTTAGTAGGCCTCAGTATATGTAGACCTCCATGTTAGTTTGCCTCACTGTGAGAGAGGCATCAGTCTGAGAGAGACCTCAGTGTGAGGTAGGCTGGTGTGAGAAGCTTTAATACGCCTCAAAGTTAGTTGCTCTCAGTATGGAGAGGCTTGAGTCTGAGAGGCCATGGCCTGAGAGAGGGTAGACCTCAGAGAAGCTTTAGTACGCCTCAGTGTTAGTTGCCCTCAATATGAAGAGTCTTCAGTCTGAGAGAGGCCTCAGCTTGAGAGAGACCTCAGTGTGACATAGGCCTCAGTATAAGAAGGCTTTGTGTGAGAAGCTTTAGTATGCCTCAAAGTTAGTTGCCCTCAGTATGGAGAGGCTTCAGTCTGAGAGGCCACAGCCTGAGAGAGGACTCAGTGTGAGGTAGACCTCAGTGAGAAACTTTAGTACACCTCAGTGTTAGTTGCCCTCAATATGAAGATGCTTTAGTCTGAGAGAGGCCTCAGCTTGAGAGAGACCTCAGTGTGACGTAGGCCTCAGTATAAGAAGGCCTGGTGTGAGAAGCTTTAGTACACCTTAAAGTTAGTTGCCCTCAGTATGGAGAGGCTTCAGTCTGAGAGGCCACGGCCTGAGAGAGGCCTCAGTGTGAGGTAGACCTCAGTGAGAAGCTTTAGTACGCCTCAGTGTTAGTTGCCCTCAGTCTGAGAGGCCTCAGCTTGAGAGAGACCTCAGTGTGACATAGGCCTCAGTATAAGAAGGCCTGGTGTGAGAAGCTTTAGTACGCCTCAAAGTTAGTTGCCCTCAGTATGGAGATTCTTCAGTCTGAGAGACCACGGCCTGAGAGAGGCCTCAGTGTGAGGTAGACCTCAGTGAGAAGCTTTAGTTCACCTCAGTGTTAGTTGCCCTCAATATGAAGAGTCTTCAGTGTGAGAGAGGCCTCAGTGTGAGGTAAACCAGTCTCCAGAGCTGGAAGAATGAAAGCCAAAGGTATGAAAGGAATTTGAAAAACATAACATGTTGTGGTTGCTTACAGGTGAGTGGCCACCTGGACTACATGAAGCAGATGGACACCATCCTGAAGGCCGTGGGCATCAGGACTAAGGAAGAGAGGGCCAATCCGGCCGGCTTCAAGGCTAAATGTGACAGTCCAACCTTATGCAACGACCCACACAAAGGAGGTGGTGGTACCATTGTCAATACTGGGCCCAATGCAAAGGAAGAGGAGGAGGAGGAGGAGGAGGAGGAGGAGGACTGCTGGTCCTGGGAGCCGGTCTCTCGAAATGGATTGGGCCCCAAAAAACTCTCACGGGGTTCAGATGCCAGGCGTAACGGCGAGGGACCACAAAACCCTACAGTACCTGAGGCATCCCTTACCGGACCCCGAAACTCGACAAAGGACCCTCAAGCCTCACAAGAGGAGATAGATCCCAAAAGCCTACAGTCCTAGAGGGACCCCAAACCTTGCAGATGGAAAGGCCTCCCTTCCAGACTTAGCGGCACCTCAAAACTCTACAGAGGGGCCACAAAACCATAGAGAAGGGCCCCAAAACTTTCCGGGTGGAAAGGCGTTTCTTATGGGCCTAGAGGGACCCCAAAACGTTACAGAGGGGCCCCAAAGCTCTACAGAGGGCCCCCAAAACCGTACTGAAGGGCCCCAAAACCTTGCAGGTGGAAAGGCCTCCCTTCCGGGCTTAGAGAGACCCCAAAACCATACAGAGATGCCCCAAAACTCTACAGAGGGTTCCCAAAACCTTGCAGGTGGAAAGGCCTCCTCTAAGGGCCTAGAGTGACTTCAAAACTCTACAGAGAAGGGCCCCAAAACCATAGAGAAGGGCCCCGAAACCTTGCAGGTACTAAGGCATCTCTTATGGACCTGGAGGGACCCCAAAAGTCTACAGAGGGGCCCCAAATCTCTACAGGGAGTCCCCAAAACAGTACCGAGGGGGGCAAAACCTTGCAGGTAGAAAGGCGTCCTTTCCAGGTTTAGAGAGGCCCCAAAACCATACAGAGGGGTCCCAAAACCTTGCAGGCACAAAGGCCTCCCTTATGGGCCTAGAGGGACCCCAAAACTCTACAGAGGGGCTCCAAACCTCTACAGTCCTATAGGAACTGGGCGGAAAGGCAGGGAGGAACCCCAAAACTCCACAGTTCTATAGGAGCTCCAGAGCCCTACAGCCCTAGAGGGACCCCAGAACCTTGCAGGTGGAAAGACTTCCCTTACGTGCCTAGAAGGACCCCAAAACTTGCACGGTCTGCAACCTTAGAGGGATCTCACAACCTATAGTCCTTGGGGGACTAATAGTACCCCAAAATCTGACAGTCCTAGAGGTGACCACAGGGGTCTGCAGGTCAGAAGGGCCCTAGAGGTCTAGATGGACCCCCAAACCTCACAGTCCCTTCTCCATCGGCGCATCACATTCCCCAGGTGCTGCTCCTTTGGCCAGCTTTTAAAGAGCAGCATGATGGGGGTTGTAGTCCTTTCCCTGCACCTTCCATTACGTCTTGCCATTGGGAGCATGAGATCGGTGTATTATTACTCTTGAAAATGGAGGCTCCATTCATCTCATGCGTCTCGGTGGTTGTGACGATGATGTCCTCTTCTCAGCCTGGGGTTGGACTACAGCCCCCATCATCCCCGAGAAAGCAGCGCCGCCAAAGGACTACCAAAGAGAAACATTCCTCGGCATGTTCTACAATCAGGTTAGAAGGGCCCAGACTTAAGACTGTGATGTCCCTTCGCTCACGAATGACGTCATAGGCTCTCAGTTCAACGGGACTCTCGAGCCATATTAAAATAAAACCAATGCTCACTTCCATTTAATGAAAATGGCACACTGCGTTCACAAAGCCTTTTATATAGATATGATACAGTACAATTGTATGTTCTAGGAGCCATGTTGGACCCTTGGGAGGTGCACGGTGGCCCTGGCCCTCGGAGGCCTCGCTGTGGCAAGTGTTCTGTAGCAAAGCCTTAGAGAAGGCCTGTCAATGGCCAACCTGTGCTTATCTATCTATCGCCAACCTATAGCAAACCCATGGAGGAGGTCCATCCATCTATGGCCAGCCTTGGAAGAGACCTTTCGTTGGCCAACCCTTGGAAGAGTTCTCTTCATGGCAAATCCTTAGAGGCGGCCTATCTATATATGGCAAACCTTTGGAGGAGGCCAACCCTTAGAAGAAGACTGTCTGTCTATGGCCCACCTATGGCCAACCCTTGGAAGAGGTCCATCTATGTATGGCCAGCCTTGGAAGAGCCCTGTCGTTGGCCAACCCTTGGAAGATGTCTATCTTGTTTATGGCCAACCTATAGCAAACTCTTGGAGGACATTCATCCATCTATGGTCATTCTTGGAAGAGACCTATCGTTGGCCAACCCTTGGAAGAGTTCTCTTTATGGCAGACTTTTGGAGGAGGCCTTTGGCTCACCCTTAGAAGAAGACTGTCTGTCTATGGCCCACCTATAGCCAATCCTTGGAAGAGGTCTACTCTATCTATGGCCAGCCTTGGAAGAGACCTGTCATTGTCAAACTTGGAAGATGCCTATCTATTTATGGCCAACAGTTGGAAATACTTACTTATGGCCAATCCTTGGAGGATACCGATCTATTTATGGCCAACCCTTAGAGGATGCCTATCTATTTTATGGCCAACTCTTGGGAAATGCTTACTTATGGCCAACCCTTGGAGAATACTGATCGATGTATGGCCAACCGTTAGAGGAGACCTGTCTAACTATGGCCAACCCTTAGAGGAGGCCTTTCTATTTATGGTCAACCCTTAGGGAATGCCTACGTACTGCCAACCCTTGGATGAGGCAGTCTTTGGGGAATACCTATCTCTTGATGGCCCACCCTTGGAGAAGGCCTCTCTATGAGATCTAGAACATTGTGGGCAGGCACATAACACACCAACGTTGGCCCAAGCGAAACAAAGACGAGAAGAACTTTTCAGGAGAGATTGGAAGGACACCTCCAGGGGGTCCCGAACGGGGGTGTGTGGTGGCCCATCAGTGGACCAGGGTCTCAGTCCAAAGGTGCGTTCAGCTGGTTGGTGTGGAGCGGAGGGGTGTCCATGGGCTCCAGGTCAAAAAGAGTCACAGTGTCGGCCCCAGCCTCCGGGAGCGAGCCCATGCGTTGCCCTCCTCCGCTGCCGCTGCACTGGTCAAGGTGGACGGCGGAGTCGGCAGCAGAGTCCGGCTCGGCCTGGAGGGCCAGGGCGTTCTTGAGGGAGGCCCCCGGGCGGGGCCCCGAGTGGGAGTTCCTCATGGAGAGGGAGACGGGGCTGGGGCGGGGCTCCCAGGCGCGGCGGCAGCAGGGCAGGTACTTGGCCATGGCCCGCTTGAAGTCCCGCATGAAGAGCGGGTAGATGATGGGGTTCATGGTGCTGTTGAAGTAGCCCAGCCAGGTCAGCAGGTCAAAGAAGTCGGCCGAGATGCACTTGCAGATGGCCTGCGCGGGGACCAAGAAGGGGAGATAACAACAACAATTTTATTTATCACGCGATCAATACATATTATTAGTAGTGATAATATTAGTTGTGATAGCATTAATAGTAATAATAGTGATAGTATTGTCTGTCATTCAGTATTGCAAGGTATAGTGGAAAACCCGTACGTTTCCGACTCCGGTTGACCCCAGAGCAAGCTTAAGCCACTGCAAACTTAGGTCGAACCCAAGACAAACTTAAGGTGAACATAAAGGAAACCTATAGAGACACTTAAGCAAACTGAGGGCAAACTTCAGGTAAACCTAAAGCAAGCTTAGTGTAGATCTAACCAAATTGACACTCATCATAATGTAAGCTTATGGCTAACCTTAAACAAACTTAGGAGGACCCTAAAGTAAGGTGATGGTGATCCCAAAGCGAACTGATGGTGACTCTAAGCAAGCTTAAGCCAAAGCTTAAGGATGATCCTCAAACTAATTTATGGTGACTTTAAGTAAGCCAAAGCAAACTTAGGACAAACCCAAAGTAAACTTAGAGTGACCCTGAAGCAAATTTAGGGCAAAACGAGAGCAAACTTGGGGCGAGACAAAAGCTAACTTAGGGCGAAACGGAAGCAAATTTAGGGTGAAATTTAAGGCAAAACAAAAGCTAACTTGGGGTGAAATGGAAGCAAACTTAGGGCGAATTGAAAGCAAACTTGGGGTGAAACAAAAGCAAACAGTGAAACAAAAGCAAACATGGGGCGAAACAAAAGCAAACTTAGGGCGAAATGGAAGCAAACTTAGGACAAAATGAGAGGAAACTTAGGGCAAAACAAAAGCAAATTAAGGCTGAAACAAAAGCAAATTTAGGGTGAAACAAAAGCAAACTTGGGGTGAAATGAGAGCAAACTTGGGGTGAAATGAGAGCAAACTTTGGGCGAAACAAAAGCAAATTAAGGCTGAAACAAAAGCAAATTTAGGGTAAAACGAAAGCAAACTTGGGGCAAAACAAAAGCAAATGGTGAAAAGAAAGCAAACTTGGGGTGAAACAAAAGCAAACTTGGAGCAAAACAAAAGCAAACTTATGGTGAAATGAGAGCAAACTTAGGGCGAAATGAAAGCAAACGGTGAAACGAAAGCAAATTTAGGGTGAAACAAAAACAAACTTGGGGCAAAACAAAAGCAAACAGCGAAACGAAAGCAAACATGGGGTGAAACAAAAGCAAACGGTGAAATGAAAGCAAACTTGGGGTGAAACAAAAGCAAACGGTGAAATGAAAGCAAACTTGGGGTGAAACAAAAGCAAACGGTGAAACTAAAGCAAACTTGGGGCAAAACGGAAGCAAATTTAGGGCAAAACGAAAGCAAACGGTGAAACGAAAGCAAACTTGGGGCGAAACAAAAGCAAACTTGGGGTGAAATGGAAGCAAACTTGGGGCGAAATGGAAGTAAACGGTGAAATGAGAGCAAACGGTGAAATGAGAGCAAATTAAGGCTGAAACGAAAGCAAATTTGGGGTGAAACAAAAGCAAACTTGGGGCGAAACGAAAGCAAATGGTGAAAAGAAAGCAAACTTAGGGTGAAACAAAAGCAAACTTAGGGTGAAATGAGAGCAAACTTAGGGTGATATGAAAGCTAACTTAGGGCGAAATGAAAGCAAACGGTGAAACGAAAGCAAATTAAGGGTGAAACAAAAACAAACTTGGGGCGAAACAAAAGCAAACTTGGGGTGAAACAAAAGCAAACGGTGAAATGAAAGCAAACTTGGGGCGAGACAAAAGCAAACTGAAACTAAAGCAAACTTGGGGTGAAACTAAAGCAAACTTAGGGCGAAATGAGAGCAAACTTGGGGCGAAACGAAAGCAAACTTAGGGTGAAATGAAAGCAAATTTAGGGCAAAATGAAAGCAAACTTAGGGCGAAAGGAAAGCAAACTTGGGGCAAAACAAAAGCAAACTTGGGGCAAAACAAAAGCAAACTTAAGGCGAAATGAAAGCAAACTTAGGGCAAAATGAAAGCAAACTTAGGGCGAAACTAAAGCAAACGGGGCAAAATGGAAGCAAACTTAAGGCGAAATGAAAGCAAATTTAGGGTGAAACGAAAGCAAACCTAGGGCGAAACAAAAGCAAACAGGGCAAAACTAAAGCAAACTTAGGATGAAATGAGAGCAAATTAGGGCGAACTCAAAGCAAACTTAGAGTGACCTTTACGATGGACCCTAAAGCAAGGTGACAGTTATCCTAAAGCAAATTTATGGTGACTCTTAGTAGTCAGCTTAAGCCAAAGCAACCTTATTGGCTGACCCTAAAGCCAAGTTGAGTGGACCCTGAAGTAAATGTAAGGGCTTCACCTGAACCATGTTGCAGACAAAGAAGGGGAGCCAGGCTACGAAGAACATGCCCAGGAGGACCCCCAGCGTCAGGCTGGCCTTCAGCGCTCGCTTGCTGTGCTTGTTGGCAAACTTGCGGCTGTTTTCGCTGGCGGCTGTCGACTGGGAGTGAGCCCTGGGGACCTGTGGAAAGAAGGCATACAACATATATATAGACAGACACAGAGGCAATTTAACATTCCAGCTTTTCCGGCTTCATGAGGGTATGCTCGAATCCGGCCACAGGAGGAGCAGCCCCTTCACCAGATCTTTTGATGGAGTACTTCCTCATTCTTCTGCACGCTGCTGGAAAGTTTTATGGCGTCGTAAATTAGTTAAATTAACCTCCTACATTTCCTACTTGACAGATGCAACTGTCTTTCAGACTGCATAGGTCAACTATTAATGGTCAGGAGCTTACTCAGACCCAGGCTGGTCAGTAGTGATTTGTTGCAGCAGGCCACTAACTAGCTGCGCCACAGCCCACAATGGTGAAAAACCTGGAATTCAAGCTGCATAGGTCAACAGCAAACTAGACTATGAATGGTCTTCCTCGTTCTTTTGAACGCTGCTGTAAGGCTTTATGGTGTTATACTTCCTCATTTTTCTGCATGTTGCTGGAAGGTTTTATGGTGTCATAAATTAGTTAAATTAACCTCCTTGCATAAAGCGGTACCAAAATTTCCTACTCGACAGATGCAGCTGTTTTTCGGGCTGCATAGGTCAACAACAAGCTAGACTATTAATGACTGGGAGCTCACTCCAAACCCAGGGCTCATGACTTCTCAGTGAGTAGTGATTCTTGCAGCAGGCTACTAACTAGCTGCGCCACAGCCTAGTCCCCTTTCATCCAACCAGGAATTCAGGCCTCCCCATAAAAGTTCTGACTAAAACCAGGAAGGGATTGTTAATTTGGATTGATGACATTTTTCACTCGGGAACAAAAGATTGTGTGATGTAGTGTGGCCCGTCTCCTGAATTCCAGAGACGTTGCTGCTTACCATCCTCTTTCTTTCCAAAGCGTCTCTCTTTTAAATAATACATTCCTTTTCTTTGCAGGCATGAAAGGCGTATGTGGTGGTGGTGGAGGAGGAGGTGGACAAGGTGGTGGTGGTGGTGGAGGAGGAGGAGCTGGTGGTGGTGATGGAGGAGGAGGAGGAGGTGGTGGAGGAGGAGGAGGTGTTGGTGGAGGAGGAAGTGGTGGTGGAAGAGGAGGAGATGGTGGAGGAGGAGGTGGTGGAGGAAGAGGAGGAGGAGGTGGTGGTGATGGAGGTGGTGGTGGTGGAGGTGGTGGTGGAGGAGGTGGTAGTGGAAGAGGAGGTGGTGGTGGTGGAGGAGGTGGAGGAGGAGGAGGAGGAGGAGGGGAAGAGCCTGTCAAAGCCTATTGTGGAAGGAGACGGAGGAGCTCCTTTGGAGAAAGAGTTGGCAAGAAGGAGAAACGTTCTGTGAGTAGGAGGAAGGCGGCAGATGCTCCGCGGGGGAAGTGGGTGCGGGAAGGACTCACGCTCCCATCGCTCTCCCCGTCGTCCCCTCTGACTCCTTTCCCTTCCCAGTTTCCCCACAAGGGATTAATCAGGGGTGGGCGCCCAAAGTCTGGGGTGAATTCATCTACTCTGAACTTATGAATGGCCTTGGACAGGCTCCTCATGAATGCAGGGCTCTCCTGCTTTCCGTGTGTGTGTGTGTGTGTGATGCTTCTGTTACCAGTTGTAATAAAACAAACCTCTCGAGGGAAATCTCACCAAATGGTCAAACTGAGAGATGTTGACAGCAGCAATAAAGCCACAACTATGTGCTTGAGTTTTCTGAACAAGCCCAAACCAAAAGAAATAATAGGATTAAGGCCTGTCTCCTGCATCTCCACTGTTGAATGAATGCAGTTTGATACCATTTCAATTGCCTTGAGAAGTGAGTCTGAAAAATATGCAAGTGCTTGCCTTCATCTGTCTCAATATATCTATTTTCTTGCCCATTGTAAGCAGGTCTTTTGTAAGTCTAATGGTCCTCGATTGTCTATGCAAATCAAGTAGGTTTATTGTTACCTGTTGTATCTGGGATATTATTACCTGTTGCATTTGGTTATTCCTACCTGCTACATATGGTTTTCCTGGTTTATTACTATCATAAATATTAAAAAATTAATAGGGTATTTTGATTACGAAAGTGTGAATCAAGTACTGAAAGAGTTAGTAGGCCGAAGCCTGTTACAGTCAGTGGGCCAAAGCTAGTGTCGTCCTGAGTGTGAGGTAAACCTCCGTGTGAGAGAAGCCTCGTGTGAGAAAGCTCCATTGTGAAAGCTGCTACGTGTAAAGCTACTATGTATTTGTTTGTGTTATGGAAACCTAGTTGTTGTAAATAGTGCAACCATATTATTTTACTATAACGAAAAGAGTGAGTAGATCGAAGCCTGTTAGAGTCATTGGGCCAAAGCTGGTGTCGTCCTGGGGTGTGTGAGGTAAACCTCTGTGTGAGAGAAGCCTTGTGTGAGAAAGCTCCATTGTGAAAGCTTTACATTGTGTGTGTAAAGCTACTATGTGTTTATTTATGTTACGGAAACCTAATTGTTGTCAATAGTGCAACTATATTATTTTTCTATAACGAAAAGAGTGAGTAGATCGAAGCCTGTTAAGAGTAATTGGGCCAAAGCTGGTGTCGTTCTGAAGAGTATGAGGCAAACCTCTGTGTGAGAGAAGCCTCGTGTGAGAAAGCTCCATTGTGAAGGCTGTTGCGTGTAAATGACGCAGAGATTGAGGATGGAGGCACTGGTGGACAAGACGTTTACTATTATATGCTATTCTTACCCATTCTGACTGTTTGGTTTGGTTATTATTCCCCATTTTGACTGGTTGTCCTTACCTGTTGCATCTGATTATTATTAACTATTGTGTCTGCGTACTATCATTACCTATTTGGTTATTACTACCCATCACACCTGCCTATCGTTACCCATTCTTTACTGCCCATCCCACTTGGCTATTACGTCCCATCATACCTGTTGCTGGCCTTCTTCCCCTGCGACTGGAGCCACGTTGTTGGTCAGCGAGGCTACCTGGACAGCCTGCTTGCGGGCGGCCAAGAGGATGCGGCAGTAGGTGAAGACGATGGCCGCGGCTGGGAGGAAGAAGGTCAGTCCGGAAGCGATGAGGGCGTAAGGGAGGCTGACAAAGAGCCGGCATTCGTCCTCCTCTTCATCCAGAGCAGTGGCGTTCCCCGACATCCAGAAGTCGAACTCCATCTTGTGCCACCCCATCTTGATGGGCAGGAAGGAGACCAAGGCGGCCAGGGTCCAGGTGGCCAGGATGAGGATCACGGCCCGCCCGGAGGTCATGCGGAGCTTGTACTTGAGCGGAGAGATGATGAGGAGGTAGCGGTCGAGGCTGATGACGCAGAGGTTGAGGATGGAGGCGCTGGTGGACATGACGTCGAAGGAGAACCAGACGGAGCAGAAGGCCCCCTCCAGCACCCAGCGGCCGTAGAGGCGGTTCAGCATGGCCGGCGGCATCACCACCGAGCCCACCAGCAGGTCCGACATGAAGAGCGAGACCAGGAAGTAGTTGGAGGTGTTGCGCAGTGAGCGCTGGGTGAAGATGAGCAGGATCAGGGAGGAGTTGCCCACCATGGTCAGCAGGATCACGAAGCTGAGGAAGGCCGCCACCCAGGCGTTGCCACCCGGGAAGGGGGCCGCCCGCTCGCCCACCAGGCTGGCGTTGCCACGGCTAAGGTCCCCTTCCATCTAGGAGGCACGAGCCCACGCGACGGAGCTAAGTCTGGCCTAAGCGCTCACCTGTTCACCTTGACGCTGGAGCTAGGTGCCCATAGGAGGAGGAGGCCACAAATGATGGTCAGGTATCCTGTGCCCACATTCTCCTTCCATCAAGGGGTTGAGAACCTAAATAATGGAGAAATCTAGTCATGTCCAAGTGCTCAACCCAAATTATTGGAGTTGTCTGGCCCAAGCGTTCACCTGTTCACCTTGACGCTGGAGCTAGGTGGCCATAGGAGAAGGCAGGATAAGATGGCAACCAGGGATGGATAAGATGGGCAACCAAGGCTGCAGACTTCTGTTATGGAGTCAGATCAAGTCCAAATGCTCACCGATTCACCCCAACACCAAACCTAGGTACTGTTGTAGGATGAGGCGAGATAAGGTGGGCAACCAAGGATTATGGGTTCTTCTCTGCCTGCTTTTGTCATGCTCCAGAGCCTTCTTCCGTCGAGACATTGGGGACCCAAAGTATCAGGTCCAAATGTGCATCAATTCACCACAACACTGGAGCCAGATGGCCATTGGGTGAGGTGGGACAAGGTGGGCAACCAAGACCAAATAAGATGGGCAACCAAGAATGGTTGGCTATCCTCTGCCCACTTTGGTTACACCCAGATTCTCCTTCCATTGAGGAGTTAGCAACCCAAATTAAGGAGCTCCAAGCTCTCACTGATTCGCCCTGACACCCGACTCAGATGGCCATCGGGTGAGGTGGGCAACCAAGGACACTTGGTTATCCTTTGCCCAAATTCCCCTTCCATTGAGTAGTTGGAATGTCAAAGATGGAGTTGTGTCCTGACACAAGGACTAACCTATTCACCCCAACACTGGCACTAGGATCAAGTCAGATATACGGCAGGCAACCAAAGAAGCATAGGTGACCATCAAGGGATAGGGCAGGTGACCGAGGGTGGTCCATTGTTCTCTACTCATTTTGGTCGTGCCCACAATTGTCTTCTATCAAAGAGTTGGAAATCTAAATTAAGGAGTCAGATAGGGTCCAAATGCTCACCAAACGATCCCAAAGCCAGGTGAACATCAGAAGAGGTTAACTAAGGTGGGCAACCAAGGCATGAGCAAGGATGGTCCATTGTTCCCATTTTGGTTGTGCCCACATTCTTCTTCTATCAAGGAGTTGGAAACCTGAATTAAGGAGTCAGGTCAGGTCCAAATGCTCACCAAATGACACCAGAACCAGGTGAACACCAGGAAAGGTTGACTAAGGTGGGCCACCAGGGCACTGGAGCGAGGGGACCATTACTGGAGATGTAATGCCTGTATGTGTTGATGTGGAAAGCTGTTGTCCCTCCGTCGAGAAGTTGGAAAGCCATTTACAGAGTCGAATCAAGTCCAAGTATTCATTGGAGAGGTGACCCTCAAATAAGGTGGGCCACCAAGGTACCTTGGTTATCTCCTTTCCAATTTGGTTGGACCCCAAATCCTCCTTCCGTTGAGGGTTCTGGTTATCTCCTCCTCACTTTGGTTGGAACCCAAATCCTCCTTCCGTCCAGGGTTCTGGTTATCTCCTCCGCACTTTGGTTGGAACCCAAATCCTCCTTCCGTTGAGGGTTCTGGTTATCTCCTCCCCACTTTGGTTGGAACCTAAATCCTCCTTCTGTCAAGGGTTCTGATTATCTCCTCCACAATTTGGTTGGAACCCAAATCCTCCTTCCGTCAAGGGTTCTGGTTATCTCCTCCCCACTTTGGTTGGAAACCAAATCCTCCTTCCGTCGAGGGTTCTGGTTATCTCCTCCTCACTTTGGTTGGGAACCAAATCTTCCTTCCGTCGAGGGTTCTGGTTATCTCCTCCTCACTTTGGTTGGAACCCAAATCCTCCTTTTGTCGAGGGTTCTGGTTATCTCCTCCACACTTTGGTTGGAAACCAAATCGTCCGTCGAGGGTTCTGGTTATCTCCTCCCTACTTCGGTTGGAACCCAAATCCTCCTTCTGTCGAGGGTTCTGGTTATCTCCTCCCTACTTCGGTTGGATCTAAATACTCCACATTCGAGGACCCAAACTGTGGAGTCAAAGAGGGTCCAAGTGCTCATGGGTTCACCCCAACGTCGGAGACAGGTGACCGTTGGATGATGTGGATGACACAGGATGTGTTCCTGAATCCTCCTTCCATTGATAATGTAGGAACCCAAATGATGGAGTCGAATCAGGTTCGGAAGACGATTCCAATTCACTCTGATGCTGGAGCCAGGTGAGTGAGCATCACTTCTTCGAGCCCTCCGCTTCCTAATCGAACTGTGGCTCCATCTTCCCCTGCCGATCTCCATCAATCACATCCGAAGCCAGGAAGAGAATGAGACCAAAATGCCGAAAATGCAGCCGGCCTCCTTCCTGCTGTGCTCTCTCTCGCCTCTCCTGCATCTCCCCAGAAAGTGCCGGCTTGAAGGATTTTCCCGTCCTTCCTTCCTTCCTTCCTTCGTTCCTTTCTTTCTCCTCCTCCTCTTCTCTCTCGTCTTTGGTACAAAAGGGGCAGCTGGTGTTCTTGGGAGCGACATCATGCTGCCGGAGCGTGTGTTGCGTTGGTGGGGGAAGCAGTGGTTCCGGTGGACGATGGGCACCCAAACGCATCCCAGCCGCTCTGTGTTTACCCTTTATCTGAAAGGCAGCACGGCGCACGATGCGCTGCATCCGTCCGAAAAGTACGGCAGAAGAAAGAATGATAAGCTGGCCATCGAAGAAGGACGAATAGACGTGCAAGAATGAGACAAAAATATGTGCAAGGGCATCAAAGAACGGGAAATGCCATGTGCATGGACATCGAGGAAGAAGATATGAACAAGTGATACATGTACATATATGTGTGTGTGCGCACGCAAAGGCATCAAAGAATGTGAAATATATGGACATGGACATTGAGGACGGATGAAGATATGAACAAGGGCATCCCAAGTGATACATGTACATATATGTGTGTGTGTGTGCACGCAAAGGTATCAAAGAATGTGAAATATATGGACATGGACATTGAGGACGGATGAAGATATGAACAAAGGCATCTCAAGTGATACATGTACAAATATGCATGTGCGTGCATGTAAAGGCATCAAAGGATGCGAAATATATGGACATGGACATTGAGGAAGGATGAAGATATGAACAAGGGCATCCCAAGTGATAAATGTACATATATGTGTGTGTGCATGCAAAGGCATCAAAGAATGTGAAATATATGGACATGGACATTGAGGAAGATATGAACAAGGGCATCCCAAGTGATACATGTACATATATGTGTGTGTGTGCACGCAAAGGCATCAAAGAATGCGAAATATATGGACATGGACATTGAGAAAGGATGAAGATATGAACAAGGGCATCCCAAGTGATACATGTATGTGTGCATGTGCGCACGCAAATACATCAAACAATGAGAAATAGATGGACATGGACATTGAGGAAGGATGAAGATATGAACAAGGGCATCGCAAGTGATACATGTATGTGTGTGTGCGCATGCAAAGACATCAAACAATGAGAAATATATGGACATGGACATAAAGGAAGGGTGGAGATATGAACAAGAGCATCAGAAGATATACACACACACATGTGTATGTATATTATGCACACACACACACACACACATATATATATGTACAAAGGCATCAAAGAATGAGAAATATAAATACATGGACATTGAAGAAGGATGAAGATATGAACAAGGGCATCCAAGGTGATATATGTACTTATATATGTGTGTATGTTTATGCGTGCGTGCGCAAAGACATCAAACAATGAGAAATATATAGATATGGACATAAAGGAGGGTGCAGATATGAACAAGGACATCAAAAGATCTACACACACATGTGTATGTATATATACACACATATATATGTATATGTGTGTATATATGTATGTATATATATGTGTGTATATATGTATGTGTGTGTGTGTGTGTATATAGTATGTATACATGGACATTGAGGAAGTATCACAGCACCACCTACTGGCCCTGGAGGGGAAAGCATCACATTTAATGGGTTTTAATGGAGTGCGACTCAACCAGTGGGTTTCATAGCCGAAAGGGGGATTTGAACCCCGGTCTCCAACATCATACAGTATCATGTCTCCTATTATATATAGATATATCCTCACTACGGGAGAACATGTGGATCAAGATGAGGGCTCCACAGCCACCTGCGGACCCACCGCCAAGACACTGCACTTGGAGGACCATCATCCTTGGACTATGAGGGATCACCTGAGTAAAGTGTGTGTGTGTATGCAGGGGCGGCTCAACCATTACGCGAAGTAAGCATTTGCAGTATAGTTGACTTTGCCCAGGGGCGCTCTTGAGGCACTCTTGGGGGGGAAATAGACCTTTACATATGCGAGTTGTAGTTACTGGGATGTATACTTCACCTACAATCAAAGAGCATTCTGAACTCCACCGATGATGGAATTGAACCAAATATGGCACACAGAACTCCCACGATGAACAGAAAATATATATCAGTGATTGGTTGGTTGGGGGGGGGGGGCAAAATACTGTTTGCTTACCGTTGAAAATTACCTAGGGACGCCTCTGTGTGTATGTATATTTCTTTATTTCCTGATGAACCCAAAAGGAAAGACCACCATCGCAGAGTTTAAAATCTAATTTATTTAACTACAAAGGTGAAACTAATAGCTTTTGTGAATCTGGAGGGGGAAAAATCAAAACAAACTAGTGATAATTTCTATGGGTATTTTCGATTCAGAAAACCAGAGAAAAGCCTCCTTTGAGAAACTACAAAACCTATTTGAACTCCATCCTGTCGCATTTCCCTGGATGGGTCCCATAGATATTGCCATTAAGTGCTCCATCCTTTGTGGATGTACAGTAGAGTCTCGCCGATCCGACATAAACTGGGCTGGCAGAACGTCGGATAAGTGAAAATGTCGGATAATACGGAGTCTCCGACTGTTACCTGTCCAACTTGGTGCTAGACGCCTAGAATACTAACAACAGGGACTCAAAGAGTTAAGGCAAGGCAATGCCCCGGGGCCAGAGAGGCCTCGGATACAGAAGAAGAGAGATGGAATGTCGGATAAGCGGGACTCTACTATTTATTTATTTCTCTCTCTTCAGTTTGCTTTGCAGATCCTTTGGGATTTTGAGAGGTCTACCCCAGCCAATGTGACTCAGTCAAGACTTCATTTTGGAATATATCCCTCCCTTAAGCCCTTCAGTTCTCCCCCAGTTCACCCAGTATAGTAACTGGGAAGATACAAATAGAAGTGAGTCTTGTGCTTCCCTAGGCGATGCATCCAAAACAAAGCACCTGTAATTTTTGCCTTGTTTGACATCTAGGCATAAGAGAAGAAGTCCAAAACTCCCAAGAGAAGAAGTCCCAGAATCCTTTGGGATCAGAGGTTCAGCACTGAGATGATGGGATGAAGGGTTGTCTTGGCTTCCCAGTAGGACGCGGCAAAGGCAATGTGATTTTCGCCATATCTACGAAATAGCGGAGGATAAGAATTCCCATTATCCCAGCATGAGACATCCCAGAATCCCCTGGGATTGGAGGGCTGCCACTCTATTAATTGAGAAGACGGGATCATTAATGATGAGTCTGGTACTTCCCAGTTGGATCCAGTTAAAGCAAACTGCGGGGTCTCGTAATTTTCGGAATAACGGGAGAGAAGAAGTCCCGGAATCTCCAAATTAGGATTCCCAGAATCTCCAAATTGGGAGTCCCAGAATCTTTAGGGATTGGAGAGTCAGCACCCAATCCGTGGAGGAGATAGGATAAATAGGAGTTTTGTACTTCCCGGTTGTATACATCAAAAACAAACTGCGGTGGCTCGTAATTTTCGAACTGGTGGAAGATGACCCAGAATCCTAAAACAAGGAGTCCCAGAATTCCTATAAAAAAAATCCCAGGGATTGGAGAGCCGGTACTCAATTGAAGGTGGGATAAATAAGAGTCTCATACTTCCTAGTTAGATATGGCAGACTGCAGAGTCTCGCAATTCTCAAAACAATGTATGATCAGAAGTCCTAGAAAACCCCGGGATTGGAGGGCAAGTGTCAGAGAGTCAGTCAGTGGTCTCCTCGTCGTGATGGCGCTGGTGGTGGTGGTTGGAGGCCTCCTCTGAAGGGTGGTGGTTGTTGTGATGATGGCCGCCGTACGGGTGCGGATTGGGGTTCTCGGCGGGCAGGTTGTCATCGGGATTCAGGTAGACGTTGAAGAGGGCCCCTTCTTGGCTCTGCTCCTTGCCACAGGCCTGGCAGCTGCAATGGAGGATCTTCTCCACCAGCTTGTCCACTCGGGGGATCTCCTCGTTGGATGGACAGTCCAGCGTCACCTGCGAGGAAGGAAAGTAGGTGAATGGTCGGAGGGAACAGTGATGGGTGCCGATGGAATGGAAAGGCCGGATGAGGAAGCCACTCTATTCCAGGAACTCGCTTTTGTGTTTTCCCCACAAAGTTTTGGACCTCCCGTCGTTGCGATTCCCAATGAATCCCAACCCCACATATGCCTCCCAACCCCCATGTCCCTGGAAAGGAGGACACACTCACAATTTCCCAGAGGGACTGGGCTGGCATGCAGGAGTCGCAATGGACCAGTGACTCGGTGGACTGCGGGAAGGTGTTGGGGACGCTGTAGCTGAAGCATTGGCCCAGGCAGGCCCTGTGGAGGAAATGGGATATCATCATCATCATCACAACAACAACAACAACAATGCAACTGTACTGGAGGACCTAGGGATCCCAAGAGAGGCATTCCATCAGCACAGAGTTGTATTGGAGGACCTAGCAAGTCTCACAGAGATCTTCTATCCACATAGCTGTGGTATGATAATACTCATACTACTACTACTGATGATGATGATGATGATGATGATGATGATGATGATGATAGCTATTCTGGAGGACCTAGCACAACTTAGAGAGGCCTTCAAGATGATGATGATGGGTTGGAGGACCTAGGGATTCAAAGAGAAGCCTTCTACCCCATTGATGATGATGATGATGATGATGATAGCTATTCTGGAGGACCTAGTGCTTCTTAGAAGGGCCTTCAATCCCCAAAGATATGATGATGGGTTGGAGGACCTAGGGATTCCAAGAGAAGCCTTCTACCCTCATTGATGATGATGATAGCTAATCTGGAGGACCCAGTGCTTCTTTGAGAGGTCTTCAATCCCCATAGATATGATGATGGGCTGGAGGACTTAGGGATTCCAAGAGAAGCCTTCTACCCTCATTGATGATGATGATAGCTATTCTGGAGGACCTAGTGCTTCTTAGAGGGGCCTTCAATCCCCATAGATTTGATGATGATGGGCTGGAGGACCTAGGGATTCCAAGAAAAGCCTTCTACCCCCATTGATGATGGTGATGATGATAGCTATTCTGGAGGACCTAGTGCTTCTTTGGGAGGTCTTCAATCCCCATAGATATGAGATGATGGACTGGAGGACCTAGGGATTCCAAGAAAAGCCTTCTACCCCCATTGATGATGATGATGATAATGATGATAGCTATTCTGGAAGACCTAGTGCTTCTTAGAGGTGCCTTCAGTCCCCATAGATATGATAGTGATGGGCTGGAGGACCTAGGGATTCCAAGAAAAACCTTCTACCCCCGATGATGATGATGATGATGATGATGATGATGATGATGATGATGATAGCTATTCTGGAGGATCTAGCGCTACTTAGAGAGGCCTTCAAGGTGATGATGATGGGCTGGGGGACCTAGGGATTCCAAGAGAAGCCTTCTACCCTCATTGATGATGATGATAGCTATTCTGGAGAACCTAGTGCTTCTGAGAGAGGCCTTCTACCCCCATTGATGATGATGATGATGATGATGATGATGATAGCTATTCTGGAGGACCTAGCGCTATTTAGAGAGGTCTTCAAGATTATGATGATGGGCTGGAGGACCTAGGGATTCCAAGAGAAGCCTTCTACCCTCATTGATGATGATAGCTATTCTGGAGAACCTAGTGCTTCTTAGAGAGGCCTTCTACCCCCATTTATGATAATGATGATAGCTATTCTGGAGGACCTAGTGCTTCTTCGAGGGGCCTTCAATCCCCATAGATATGATGCTGATACAGTGCTGGAGGACACAGCAATTCCAGAGAGGCTTTCTATCCCTATAGAGCCGTGCTGGAGGACCTCATCTATTTCCCTGGAGAGACCTCCTACCACCCCGTAGGTGTTCTGCCGGGTCTCGCACCTGTTCTGGATGGACTTGGCCTCGCAGCCGCTGTGCCCCACAATCTGGGTGATGTTCTTGGCTTCACACCAGGCACTCTTGTCTGGGAAGAGGGCCAGCTTGTTGATTGGTGGCGGAGGCGCCCCGAGGACCACCGAGACGGAGAGGACCCCCAGCAGGACGCCCAGCATTGTGCCCCGCTCCAACAATGACCTACAACTGGGAAGGTAAAGAAAGATGGGGAAAAAACACTGGGATGTGTGGTTCCACCATGCCAAGCACTCCCGAAAGGTGCATAACGAGCATCTTGGGCCCTCCCTCCATATGTTTTGGACTCGGACTCCCATAACGTGGGTATGCAGATGATCCCTTGATTGACTTAAGTATCCAGTCCGAAGAGGACAAAGGCATGGGCTGACTTCGGCCCTCCCTCCAGGTGTTTTGGACTCCAACTCCCACCGTTCCTAACAGCCTACCGGCTCTTAGGAATGGTGGGAGTTGGAGTCCACACAGCAGGTGGCGCTCTTGAACAGGGTTCCTTCCACATATGCATTTCACACCACTTTACATAGATTTAAATCCACATGCCGTGCTTTAATATACCCATGCTTTCATTTAATTTTAATTGTATTAATTAATGCAACTTGCCATGCTTTAATTTAATTTACAGGTGTACAAGGATGGCAATAGGTTAAGAAGTCAAATTGGTGGGTGAAGAGGATGGATGGATAGATTGATTGATATGCAGATAGATAGATAGATAGATAGATAGATAGATAGATAGATTGATATGCAGGCAGATAGATAGATAGATAGATAGATAGATAGATAGATAGATGATAGATATGCAGGCGGATGGATGGATAGATAGATAGATAGATAGATAGATAGATAGATAGATAGATAGATGCAGGCGGATGGATGGATGGATGGATGGATGGATGGATAGATAGATAGATAGATAGATAGATAGATAGATAGATATGCAGGCGGATGGATGGATGGAGAGATAGAGAGATACGCAAATAGATATGCAAATAGATAGATAGATAGATAGATAGATAGATAGATAGATAGGCAGATAGATAGATAGATAGATAGATAGATAGATAGATAGATAGATAGATAGATAGATATAGATGATAGATAGATAGATAGATAGATAGATAGATAGATAGATAGATAGATAGATAGATATGCAGGCGGATGGATGGATAGATAGAGAGATAGATAGATACGCAAATAGATATGCAGATAGATAGATATGCAGATAGATAGATAGATAGATAGATAGATAGATAGATAGATAGATAGAATATCCAGATAGATAGATAGATGGATATGCAAATAGATAGATATTCGGATAGATAGATAGATAGATAGATATGCAAATAGATAGATAGATATGCAGATAGATAGATAGACAGACAGATAGATATGCAGATAGATAGATATGCAAATAGATAGATATGCAAATAGATAGATATGCAGATAAATAGATAGATAGATATGCAGATAGATATGCAAATAGATAGATAGATAGATATGCAAATAGATATGCAGATAGATAAATAGATATGCAAATAGATAGAAAGATATGCAGATAGATAGATAGATAGATAGATAGATAGATAGGGCTGCTGAACGGCTCTCACAGTCAGGAAATTTTTCCTCATGTTCAGATGATCTAATTATCATTATATGATAATATAATAATATAACATTATTATATTATACTAATATTTCATGATCAATATTATATGATATAAGACTATCATATAATATATTATTATTATATTATTATAATTATGTTATTATATGTTATTATACATATTATATGTTATTATATTCCATTATTATTGTTGTTGTTGTTGTAGGTGTGTTTATAATATCCTGCTTTTTCCTCTCCTAAAGGAGCCTCAAAGGTTGCGAAAGGTCGCCCTGGACCAATGTTTTGGCTTGAAGTTGGGAAGGATCTGCACTCTGCACATGTACAGAAGACTCTTAAAAAACTATCCATTCGTGACAGCCCATTACTACTAATAATAATAATAATAGTAACAACAACTTTATTGTATTGTCGAAGGCTTTCATGGCCGGACTCACTGGATTGTGGTGTGTTTTCTGGGCTGTCTGGTCATAGATGCAGGCGAAACATCAGGAGAGAATGCTTCGGGGACATGACCAGACAGCCCAAAAAACTTACAATAACTTTTTTTTTGTGTCCCACCACCATCTCGCAGAAGGGCTTAATAAATACGCAAAGGATCCCTCCCATCCAAGTCCCAACCAGGGCCGGCCCTGCTTAGCTTCCAAATCGGAGCACATCGGATGCCTTTTTGGAAAGCACGTTCGGGTATATTTGAAATATTTGCCTCAACTAGCACAAAAACAATCAGTATTATTATTGATAATATTATTAATTATTGATTATTATTATCTGTCGTATTGATTATTATTATCGGTCATTCCTTCTAGTTGTATTCGGATGCCTTTTTGGAAAGTACATTCGGATATATTAGGAATGTTTGCTTCAACTTGCACAAAAGCAATCAATATTATTACTATTAATTATTGATTACTATTATTATCTGTCATATTGATTATTATTATCTGCCATATTGATTATTATTATTATCTGTCGTATTGATTATTATTATCAGTCATTCCTCCTATTTCTATTCAAATGCCTTTTTGGAAAGTAAATTCGGATATATTTTGAATGTTTGCTTCAACTTGCACAAAAGCAATCAATATTATTACAATTAATTATTTATTATTATCTGTTGTATTGATTATTATTATCTACCATTCCTTCTATTTCTATTCAAATGCCTTTTTGGAAAGCACATTCTGATATATTTAGAATATTTGCTTCAACTAGCACAAAAGCAATCAATATTAATATTATTGATTATTATTATTATCAGTCATATTTATTATTATTGGTCATTCCTTTTATTTCTATTCGGATATTTCTTTGGAAAGTACATTCGGATATATTTGGAACGTTTGCCTCAATTGGCACAAAAGCAATCAATATTATTATTTTTTATTATTATCTATTAATTATTGATTATTATTATCTGCTGTATTGATTATTATTAGTATCGGTCATTTCTTCTATTTCTATTTGGATGCCTTTTTGGAAAGTACATTCTGATCTATTTGAAATATTTGCCTTGACTAGCACAAAAGCAATTAATATTATTATTGATTATTATTTATTATTTATTGATTATTATTAGTATCGGTCATTCCTTCTATTTCTATTCGGATATTTCTTTGGAAAGTACATTCGGATATATTTGGAACGTTTGCCTCAACTAGCACAAAAAGCAATCAATATTAATATTATTAATTATTGATTATTATTATTATTATTATTATCATCTATTGATTATTATTATCTGCTGTATTGATTATTATTAGTACCGGTAATTCCTTCTATTTCTATTCAGATGCCTTTTTGGAAAGTACATTCTGATCTATTTAGAATGTTTGCCTCAACTAGCACAAAAGCAATCAACATTATTATTGATTATTTATTATTATTATCTATTAACTATTAATTATTAGTAGTATTGGTCATTCCTTCTATTTCTATTCGGATATTTCTTTGGAAAGTACATTCGGATATATTTGGAACGTTTGCCTCAATTGGCACAAAAGCAATCAATATTATTATTATTATCTATTAATTATTTATTATTATTATTATTATCTGTCGTATTTATTATTATCGGTCATTCCTTCTATTTCTATTCGGATATTTGGAAAGCACATTCTGATCTATTTGAAATATTTGCCTCAACTAGCACAAAAGCAATCAATATTATTATTGATTATTTATTATTGATTATTATTAGTATCGGTCATTCCTTCTATTTCTATTCGGATGCCTTTTGGGAAAGCACATTCTGATCTATTTGAAATATTTGCCTCGACTAGCACAAAAGCAAACAATACTATTATTGATTATTATTGATTATTTATTGATTATTATTAGTATCGGTCATTCCTTCTATTTCTATTCGGATGCCTTTTGGGAAAGCACATTCTGATTTATTTGAAATATTTGCCTCGACTAGCACAAAAGCAAACAATATTATTATTGATTATTATTGATTATTATTGATTATTATTATTAATATCTGTTGTTTTCTTCTATTTCTATTTCCAGTACTTGTGCCTTTTGAGGACGTTTCAAGCCATTGTTTTTGCCCAAGTTTTTGGGTCAGGAAAAAAACAACTCCCCAAGCGAAGCCTTCTCCAAAAATGGAATTCAATCTGATGACTTACCATGGAATTAATGAAGACGGGAAGGAAAGACGACGTGCTTGGATGGCCAATGTCTTCCACCATCCGAAAGGATGAGAATTGCTCCGAGGAAAGAACAAAGATCCAAGGAATTCAGGTCCAAAAAAATAGATAATCCAAAACAGTGGAAGATGGGGGAAAATCCGGCTATTGGTTACCAATGGAATTGATCAAAAAAGGTAGGAGAAAATAATCAAAAGTTCCCAAAGTTTCAAAACAATGCTCTCAAAGTCTCCCGAATCCGTGATGCATCTTTCGCACTTGGAGGCTGCCAGACCAATGGCTTGGGAACCAATTCCTCCTCCTCCTCTTCTTCTTCCTCCTCCTCCTTTTCCTTTTACTCCTCCTCCTCCTTCTTTTCTCTTTCTTTCTTTCTCTCTTTCTTTTCTCCTCCTCCTCTCTCTCTTTTCCCAGCTTTGGAAGAGTTTTTGCAAACTTTTCCCTCTTTTGGGGAGAATATTGTAAAAGAAGGAGAAGAAGGGAGCGGAAAAGAGGAGGAGAAAGAAAAGAAAGGGAATTAAAGAGCCCTCGGCCCTATTTCGGTCTTTCCTTTTGAGAGACAAAGAGAAGGGGTGCCTTTGCTGCAAATTGGAACCCATTTGGACAATATTTTATCATTTTCCCACCCAGATAATGGGAAATGAGCCTCCGTAAAGAGGAGCAGTCTATCTGAGTCCATTCTGAGCATTATTTCCCACCCAAATAATGGGAAACGAGCCTCCTTGCGTAGGAGCAGTCTATCCGAGTCCATTCTGAACATGATTTCCCACCCAAATCATAGGAAATGAGCATCCTTAAAGAGGAGCAGTCTATCTGAGTCCATTCTGAACATGATTTCCCACCCAAATAATGGGAAACGAGCCTCCTTGGGTAGGAGCAGTCTATCTGAGTCCATTCTGAACATGATTTCCCACCCAAATCATAGGAAACGAGCCTCCTTAAAGAGGAGCAGTCTATCTGAGTCCATTCTGGACATGATTTCCCACTCAAATAATGGGAAACGAGCATCCTTAAAGAGGAGCAGTCTATCTGAGTCCATTCTGGACATTATTTCCCACCCAAATAATGGTAAACGAGCCTCCTTGGATAAGAGCAGTCTATCTGAGTCCATACTGTACATTATTTTACTAATTCCCCATGCAAATAATGGGAAACGAGCCTCCTTGGATAGGAGCAGTCTATCTGAGTCCACATTGTACATTCGTTTACACTTTTTCCCCATTCAGATAATGGGAAACGAGCCTCCTTGGATAGGAGCAGTCTATCTGAGTCCACATTGTACATTCGTTTACACTTTTCCCCATTCAGATAATGGGAAACGAGCCTCCTTGGATAGGAGCAGTCTGTCTGAGTCCATATTGTACATTCGTTTACACTTTTCCCCATTCAACTAATGGGAAATGAGCCTCCTTGGATAGGAGCAGTCTATCTGAGTCCATATTGTACATTCGTTTACACTTTCCCCCATTCAAATAATGGTAAACGAGCCTCCTTGGATAGGAGCAGTCTATCTCAGAGTCCATATTGTACATTATTTTGGAAGATTATTCCCCATTTTCCCACCCAAATGATAAGATATGGATGATCGAGCCTCCTTGGATAGGAGCAGTCTGTCTCAGTGTTTGTGTCTCTTGTTGTTTCACCACTTTCTGATACCAAATGGTACCTGATGGCTTGTTGAACCTCCTTGGCTCAGAACAGTCTATCTCAGAGTTCATATCATGCATTTATTTTTCAGTTTGCCCATCCAGATGATCGTAAACGAGCCTCCCTGGATAGGAGCAGCCTAGCTTAGAGTGTATGCAACCTATTATATATGGATGTATGTCAGGGCCTGGCTCCAATAATTGACCTGACCTACATTTGGGAGGCCTCCTCCGCCCAAACTGGTGCCGCCACTTGATGAGAGAGAGGCTGGAGGGGGTATTTACATTGGAATGCCTGGCCACAGAATGGGCCCAAACCCGCTCGTCCGGCTCCTCTGGGCGAGTCGCACTCTCTCAGCCTCAGAGCTGGCCAAGAAAACCTTGCAGATGGGCCTGAAATGGCACACTTAGGATCTTAAGTGGTTTCTCTGCAGGCCCAAAGGTAGACTAGATGACCTTTGAGGTCCCTCCCAAGGTCTTTGAGCCCCTGTTGTTTTCCTGTAGGGTTGGACTAGATGTCCCTTGGGGTCCCTTCCAGAGTCTTATGAGTAGCTTGATGCCGTCTAAGGCTGAAGTTGGGCAAGATGGCCCTTGAGGTCCTCCCTAGAAGACTGGACCATGGACTAGATGTCCCTTGAGGTTCCTTCAAGAGACTTATGGGCAGCTTGATGTCCTCTAAGGCTGAAGTTGGGCTAGATGGCCCTTGAGGTCCTCCCTGGAAGACTGAACCTTGGACTAGATGTCCCTTGAGGTTCCTTCCAGAGTCTTATGAGTAGCTTGATGTCGTCTAAGGCTGAAGTTGGGCTAGATGACCCTTGAGGTCCTCTCTAGAAGACTGGACCTTGGATTAGGTGGCCCTTGGGGTCCCTTCCAGAGTCTTATGAGTAGCTTGATGTCCTCTAAGGCTGAAGTTAGGCTAGATGGCCCTTGAGGTCCTCCCTAGAAGACTGGACCTTGAACTAGGTGGCCCTTGGGGTCCCTTACCAGAGTCTTACGAGTAGCTTGTTGTCCTCTAAGGCTGAAGTTGGGCTAGATGGCCTTTGGGGTCCTCTCTAGAAGACTGGACCTTGGGCTAGGTAGCCCTTGAGGTTCCTTCCAGAGTCTTATGACTAGCTTGATGTCCTCTAAGGCTGAAGATGTCCCATGAGGTCTATAACTGGACTAATGTCCTTTGAGGTTCTACTTAGAAGACTGGATCTTGGACTAGATGGCCCTTGGGGTCCCTTTCAAAGTTTTTCCTCGAGGGCTGAGGTCAGACTAGATGACCCCTTGGGGTCCTTTCCGCAGTCCATGACCCTAAGTAATGTCCCTAGGGGGCTGAGGTCAGACTAGATGACCCCTTAGGGCCCCTTCCAGGTTGTATAACCCTAAGTAATGTCCATGCAGGTCTGAGGTCAGACTAGATGACCCGCTGGGGCCTCTTTCTGGACCCTAAATAATGTCCCTATAGGGTGGAGGTCAGACTAGATGACCCCTTGGGGCTTCTTTCTGGACCCTAAATAATGTCCTTATAGGGTGGAGGTCAGACTAGATGACCCCTAGGATCCCCCTCCAGGCCTGCCTTGCATGGTCGCTAGGAAGGGGCGCAATCCCTTGAGCTGCCCTGGAAGAAAAGCACGCTGGTCCATGCCAACAGAAGGAGTCCCGGAGCGAAGGGCAGGGCCCGCGGCGTCTCTCGCACTCGGTTCTTGGGTCCCGATGCTGCCAAGGTGCGGAGAACATGTCCTGGCATGGGTGCAGAACCCGTGTGGGCGTGAGAGCCGAAAAGGATGGGTGCGAAAGAAAGAAGAGGGTGCTTGTTCGGACTTGACTGCGGAACGGACCCAGATCGAGGGCTGACCCCAGGCGCCAGGCCAGGGACCAAACAACACCCATTTTGTGCCGCAATTGGCTGGCGTGCTGGTGGAGTTGGCCCTTTGGGACTACAATGCCCATCATCCCCCCAACCATTCAGTTTGGGGGATTCTGGAGCTTGGAGTGTAAATATAAACGTTTTGCCCTAATTACTTCCATTTAGTTCCCCCATGTAATATTTATTTATATTTTAATAATAATAGTATTATTATATATTTGTTTTAATAAATCTATTTTAATATTATATATATTTATATTATATATGTAGTTATTAATAATATTGTTCTAAAATTATGAATAAAAATAAATAATATTCATTATATATATATACTCTAATAACAATAAATGTTCATTATATATATAATGAATATTATTTATTAATAATTTTAGAACAATTATATATATATACTTTATTAATAACAATAAATAATATTCATTATATATATAATGAATATTATTTATTGTTATTAATAATTTTATAACAATATTATATATATATATTATGACTTCTGTGTGCCTGAATATTTATATATATAAAATGAATATTCATATTGAGGTAATAAGGTATATATATAATATTGTTATAACAATAAATAATATCTATCTATATATATATATATATATATATATATATATATATATATAATATTATTTATTGTATATATATAATATTGTTATAAAATTATTAATAACAATAAATAATATTCATTATATATATAATGAATATTATTTATTGTTATTAATAATTTTATAACAATATTATATATATACAATAAATAATATTATATATATATATATATATATATAGATAGATAGATATACTCTATATTTATGAATAATATTGTTATAAAACTATTATTAATAATATTCACAGTCAATTGGACAGAATACAGGATTCATCCGATGTTTCCACTGCTCCAAACACTCCAAAGTATCTCCAAGGGAGGAAATGGGGCAGAGAATCTGATTTTTTTTCCTCTCCGAAGAGCTGTATTTGGGGTCGAAAAAGGGGGGGAAAGACCCTTTTAAGTCTCCAAAGGAATGTTAAAAGGAGCTAAACACTCATCTGGAAGTCATCACCCTCCTCCTCCCCCATTTGCCTTGAAACCACCTTTCCTTCCATTTTATTATTCTCTCATATATATATATATATATATATATATATATATATATATATATATATATATATATATATGTGTGTGTGTGTATGTGTGTGTGTGTGTGTGTGTTTGTGTATACACACACACACATATGAGAAGTGAGTGGATCAGGGAAAGTACAGATAACATTTGCTTGCATACACACACAGACACACATATATATACACACACATATATGAGAAGTGAGTGGATGGGGAAAGTACAGATAACAATTGCTTGATTACACACACACAAATATAGATATATGAGAAGTGACTGGATGGGGGGAAAGTACACAGATAATAATTGCTATCTATCTATCTATCTGTCTGTCTGTCTATCTATCTATTTATCTATCTATCTATCTTTCATCTATCTGGCCGGCCAGCCAGCTATCCATCCATCATCTCTACTATCTATCTATCTATCTATCTATCTATCTATCTATCTATCTATCTATCTATCTATCTATCTATCTACTACCTACCTACCTCATCATCATCATCATCTATCTATCTATCTATCTATCTATCTATCTATCTATCTATCTATCTATCCATCCATCCATCAATCCATCCATCATCTCTACTTACTATCTATCATCTATCTATCCACCCATCCATCCATCCAGCTATCCATCCATTATCTCTACTATCTATCTATCTATCTATCTATCTATCTATCTATCTATCTATCTACCTACCTACCTACCTACCTACCTACCTACCTTACCTTTCCATCCATCCATCCAGCTATCCATCCATTATCTCTACTATCTATCTATCTATCTATCTATCTATCTATCTATCTATCTATCTATCTATCTACCTACCTACCTACCTACCTACCTTCCTACCTATCTATCTGTCTATCTATCTATCTACTATCTATCTATCTATCTATCTATCTATCTATCTATCTATCTATCTATCTATCTACCTACCTACCTACCTACCTACCTACACCTTTCCATCCATCCAGCTATCCATCCATTATCTCGATCTATCTATCTATCTATCTAGCTATCTATCTATCTATCTATCTATCTATCTATCTATCTATCTATCTATCTATCTATCTATCTATCTATCTATCTATCTCTTTCTATCTTCATTCTTCTTTCTATCTATCTATCTATCTATCTATCTATCTATCTATCTATCTATCTATCTATCTATCTATCCATCCATCCATCCATCCATCCATCCATCCATCCATCCATCCATCCATCCATCCATCCATCCGTCTTCCTACCTACTACCTGTCTCTCTCTCTTTTGGCCTGACTTGAAACACTCATTGGAAAACACGCTGTGGGGCTCTTTCATGGGACTCCTTCTGTGGATGTGGGGCTTGTCGGCGGCTGTGCCTGTTTTGTGTCAAAGCGCACAAAAACGCTTCCCTTTGCGTTGCTTGGATTTTTCTTTCTCGGCGGAGGTTTTTATCACGGTCAGGAATCTCTCCCCTCCCGAAACAAACAAAAAACCATTGGAAAGGAAGGACTTTCCAAAGGAATTGGGCACTTTGGAACAAAAACCAGGGGGACTCTCGCTCCCAGGGATGCTGGGATCTGCAGTCCAGGGAATGGAAGGAGCTTCCCTGAGCCAAGATGGGGAAACATCATTCCTCCTTTTCGGCTGGATTTGAATAAATAGCGCAGGAAAAGGGATAACAGCATGGACACCGCTGGAATGTTGTGTTTTCTCTCTCTGTGGGTCGGCCGGAGGGGGCATTCCTGGCCTCTCGCTGGGCCCAGGGGTTGTGTACTAGTGGGGTTGGGGAGATTTATTTTGTCATTTGGGAGTTGTAGTTGCTGGGATTTATAGTTCACCTACAATCTAAGAGTATTCTGAACTCCACCAACGATGGAATGGAACCAAACTTGGTTCTCAGAACTCCCATGACCAAAAGAAAATACTGGAAGGGTGTGTGGGCATTGACCTTAAGTTTGGGAGTTGTAGTTCACTTACATCCAAAGAGCACTGTGGTCTCAAACAATGATGGATCTGGACCAAACCCAGCATGAATACTCAATATGCCCAAATGTGAACACAGATGAAGTTTGGGGAAAATCAACCTTGATATTTGGAAATTGTAGTTGCTGGGATTTATAGTTCGCCTACAATCAAAGAGCATTCTGAACCTCATCAATGATAGAATTGGGCCAAACCTCCCACACAGAAGCCCCATGACCAACAGAAAATACTGTTTTCTGATGGTCTTTGGCGACCCCTCTGAAACCCCCTCATGACCCCCCCAGGGGTCTCGACCCCCAGGTTGAGAAACACTGGACTAGAGATACTATTGTGCGTCAACATCTTTTTGCTTTATTTCCCGGAAGAGCAGCACCTTTCCTCGGCTTTGAATACAAAACGTGATTGGGTTCCCGAGAGCGGGTGGACGGTCCCCAAGGCAGTGGTCAGTGGGGCGCTTGGACCTTTTCGGGAAGATGACAACGATGACGAGGAGACCCCGAGCCTTGCTTTCTTCCTCTCTGTCATTGCTCCTGGAAGAGAAAGAAAGAGGATCCCGGGTGAGAAAGCAACACCTCTGGTTCCCGATCTGTTTTCCAAGCCAAAAATGTCTCCAGAGTTGAGAGACATATTTGGCTTGGACTACACTGGCGGAAGGATTCCGGGTCGCCTAACCCTAGGACAGTTTACGGGCTGGAAGGCCATCTGTCAGTGAGGCTCAGGTTGTGTCTTCCTCTGTAGAGGAATGGGCCTGTTTCAGAGCTTCCCAATCTTTCCACGCTTTGGAGAAGGCAGACCCACCTTGACGAATCTCCCGTGGAGGAGGTGCGGGGACCGGAAATCGTGCTGGCAGTTGGAGTAAGCCATGCCCAGGCCCGTCCCGGAGCCAAACGCAATGGGCCAGGTCTTCCCTGGAGGGAGGAGAAGAGGAGGAGGAAGACAAGGTTGGGAAGGAAACCTCAGCAGGATCTGTGTTGCCCCCCATGTCATGAAACAAGACGCTTGAAACCATGAAACAAAACAGCAGGAAAATCCCATAGTCCAAACTCAAGCTTGGCAAAAACTTGGTACATAAAACTCAGAGCACTTGAAAGCAAGGCCGTGATAAAATAACAACGTTGCCTCGACTGAGTCAATTCACTCCCGTGCATCATTATAAATCTTTCCCAGAACCCAAGACTGACAAAGCATTCTTCTTGACTTTCCCTGCATAACGTGTTTGGTGGTCCCTATGTAGATTTCTCCAAACCTTACCCTTAGCACCAACCAGGAACCCAAAAGCAGCAGAAGAAAGCACATATGAAAAGGGACATCACCAAAAGGGATAGGGAAGGCCAAATCCAACAGGTAGTTCCCTTTTTCCATCTACCTTCCCTTTTGTCTTTCCTTCCTTCCCTCCTTCTTGCTCCCCTCCATTCCCTTCCACCCTTCTTTCCTTCTCCTTATCCTTTCCCCTTCTATCCTTTTGTCCTTCCATCTTTCCTTCCTTCCCTTTCCTCCCTTCTTCTCTCTCTTTCTCCTTCCTTTCCTTCCCTTCTCTTTCTTCCCTCCTTCCTTCTTTCTCTCCCTTTCCTCTTCCCCTTCCCTTCCTTCTCTTTTCCTTCCTTCCTTTCTCCTTCCTTCCCTCCTTCCTCCCTTCTTCTTCCTCCTCCTTCCTTTTTTTCCTTCCTTCTTTCCATCTCTTTCCTTCCCTCTTTCCTCCCTTTCTCCTTCCATCTTTCACTTCCTTTCTTCCATTCTTTCCCTCTTCCCTTCCTTCTTTCCATCTTTCTTTCCTTCCCTCTTTCCTCCCTTCTTCTCCCTCCATCCTTCCCTTCCTTCTCTTTTTCCTTCCTTCCTTCCATCCGTCTTTCCCTCTCCTTCCTTCTTTCTCCTTCCATCTTTCCCTTCCTCCCTTTCCTCTCCTCTTCCTTCCTTCCTCTTCCTCTTTCTCCTTCCATCCTTTCCTCCCTCCTTTTCATCCTTCCTTCCTTCCATTGTCTTTCCCTCTTCCCTTCCTTTTCATCCTCTTTCTCCTTCCATCCCTTCCTTCTTTCCATCTTTCTTTCCTTCCCTTTCCTCCCTTCTTCTCCTTCCATCTTTCCCTTCCTTCTCTTTTTCCTTCCTTCCTTCCATCCATCTTTCCCTCTCTCCTTTCTTCCTTTCCTCTTTCTCCTTCCATCCTTCCCTTCCTCCCTTTCATCTTCCTCCGTCCTTCCTTCCCTCTCTTCCTCTTTCTCCTTCCATCCTTCCCTTTTGTCTTTCTTTCCTTCCCTCCTCCTCTCTCTCCTTCCAGACTTCCCTTCCTCCCTTCTCTCTCTCTTTCCTTCCTTCTTCCTTTCCTCTCTTGCCAGTCCTCCTAGCAGGGAGTGCTAGCATGTGGCCCCAAAGTTAGGAAGTGTCCCCAGGCCCGGGATAACGCATTCCGGACCCTGGAAATCCCTATAGGAAAGGATTATTGTCATCCCAAAACAACAATATGGATGAGGATCAAGGCAGCAAAGCGCTACCTCTGGGAAAGAGGCAGGAGATGTTCTGACCGCTGATATGCAAACAATCCCAGTTGTGTGTGTGTGTGTGTGTGTGTGTGTGTGTGTCTACCTTCCTCCTCCTTTTTGCATCCCGTACAATGGCATGGTGGAGGAGACCCAAGTTGCAAAAGGCCCAAGAGCTGCCCTGACTCTAAACAGAAAGACAGGGCCGTGTAAACACACATTAAAGATGTTTATCTGCGGGAGGTTGCGCTGCTTTTCTTCTCCGAAGCCCAGAGCAAACAAATGGCCCTGTTTGGGGAAAGAGCGAGTGAGCGAAGGAGCCAAAGGCAAAAGGGACAATAATCTCCTCCTCGTCGGTATTGACCTTTTCCTTCCCTGTTTGGAGCCCGCCTCCATGCCTCAGTGTCTGCTCCGTGTTGACTTTCCCAGGGAGTTGGGAAAGCTTTCTTGCTCAGCCAGTTGAATAAAACGCATCTCCCTTTTGTTCTCTGCGATGAATCAGAGGGAGATGGTGCAACGGAGACCAGGCTGCCATTAGCCCAGCGGAGGTGTATTGGTGGCTGATTAATACACACTGATCGATGAAGGTGTCAGATAACAGAACTAGGGAGGAGTTGGAAGCAAAGGCTTGGCTGTGGACTCCAAATCCAAAGCCAGGAGAAGGTGGCCTCGAGTCTATCAACAGCATAAGAATAAACGAGTTGGAAGACTCAAAAGCAGACTTACTTTTGAAGAAGATGACTGAGAAGACAATGCCCAGGCCAAAACCAGCACCTGCGAGAGACAGAAAGAGAAGAGCATGAAAAGAAACCAGGGCTGGGGAGCCACCGTCTAGTGGGATAGTAGTATAATAATAATAATCACTATCATCATCTGTTGTACACCTCTTAAGCTTGGCAAAAACTTGCTGCATGAAACTCAGAGCACTTGAAACCAAGACCGTGATCAAATAACAACATTGCCTCAACTGCAGCAATTCACTCCCATGAATCATTATAAACTTTTCCCTACCACTTGTCGTACACTGGAGCAGGAACACCTCTGACCTTCAACACCACACCAGCTTGGTAAAATCAACAAGCAGTTTATTGAAGAATATAAGTAGGCAAAGCAGTAAAAAGTAGCAAAACAGTAAAGGTTCACAATCCAAAATAGTCCATCAGCTTTAAAAGGAAGCAAGATCCATGAGTACATAGGAATCCATGAAACAAGGCACTTGAAACCATGAAACAAAACAGCAGGAAAATCCCATAGTCCAAACTTAACCTTGGCAAAAACTTGGTACATGAAACTCAAAGCACTTGAAACCAAGACCGTGATCAAATAACGATGTTGCCTCGACTTAGACAATTCACTCCCATGAATCATTATAAACCTTTCCCTACCACTTGTCGTACACCGGAGCAGGAACACCTCTGACCTTCAACACCACACCAGCTTGATAAAACCAGCAAGCAGTTTATTGAAGAATATAAGTAGGCAAAGCAGTAAAAAGTAGCCAAACAGTAAAGGTTCACAATCCAAAATAGTCCATCAGCTTTAAAAGGAAGCAAGATCCATGAGTACATAGGAATCCATGAAACAAGGCACTTGAAACCATGAAACAAAACAACAGGAAAATCCCACAGTCCAAACTTGGCAAAAACCTGGTACATGAAACTCAGAGCCCTTGAAACCAAGACCATGATCAAATAACGATGTTGCCTCGACTGAGACAATTCACTCCCATGAATCATTATAAACTTTCCCCAGAATCCAAAACTGACAAGAAAGCATTCTTCTCGACTTTCCCACTATATAACGTGTTTGGTGGTCCTAAACTTGTCCATAGCTGCATGGTATATGGTAGACACAGGGATCGGCAAATGCAACATGGCCAGACACGAATCCAGGAACACAAAAGGCACTGCAGACTGAGTCAACCAGAGAAGTCAGCCATAGCAGAGCACTTGGTGACACAACATATGATCTGAGAACATGGAAATGCTAACTACCACCATGTCAGGCTACTTGATGACCTCTTGGGATCCCGTCTAACTGTGATTGTAGGACGGATTGAGGGTTTCATCAGACCAGGATTTAGTCTGGATCCGTCATTCAAAGAAGGACCAAAGAGGCCTGGCAGAGGGATAAAGAGCGCGGCGCATAAGGCACACAGAGCCGCCGTTGGGCTTTCATTCCCGTCCTCTGTTTATTTGCTTTGGAAGCGAGACCTTTCATGTTTTATTGTTATGGAGTGAAAGGGCGGCCTCGGCCCCGGCCCCGAAGGTCTTTTAGTAGAAACAGCTGTCAGGTGGGAGGCCTCTCCCGTTGAGATGGAAAAGGAACGAGCAAAAAGGCCACGGCAGCGGACTCTTTCTCGGAGGACGAGACCCGTATCTCAAAAGACTACAAAGAAGTTAAGTCTGGATAACAGACATCGTTGGAACCACTACAAAGGCTCCTCCATGGCTCGATGGATCTGGCTCAAACTTGGCATGTATACCCTTCAGTACCCAACTTCAAACCAGTGAGCTTTTCTATCCTGATATGCTGGACTTCCAACAGGCTTTTAAACAATGGTGGATGGTCATCTGTCAGGGGTACTTTGATTGTGCTTTTCCCCATGGTAGAAGAAGGTTGGATTCGATGGCCCATGTGGTCTCTTCCAGCTCTATTATTCTAAGATGTCCACCATGTTGGAGCATGTAAGAAATCAGTTTGTGTGTGTGTGTAAAATAAGATGCAAGAAGCTGGTTGGTTGAGCTTCGCCCAGGGAGATGGCTGAGCCTGGGACTCTTGGATACATTTTCAGGCTTGAGCTAGGCAGGTGCTTGCAGAGAAGCAGAGAGATTTTGGAGTGTGCTCTTGGTTCATGAGCTGCTGGAGGGAGATTCTCCACATGGACACAGAAAGACCATTTATGAGTTTATGCAATTGACCACAAGATTATACATATGTTGCTCTGAACTACAAAGAGTACTGTTCATCTGCGTGGTATATTTTCTTTCTCTGGCAAGGTAGTGTGTGGACTGGTCAAACATGAACTACACATGATTTTCATTTCATCACACACCATCCCCATTGGGGCTGATGGGTATTGTAGTACAAATATCTCGAAATTGCTGGGCAGGAAAGTATATACTCCATTAATGTTATTCTGTGTGGTATATTTTCTTTCCCTGGCAAGGCAGTGTGTGGACTGATCAAACGTGAACTACACATGATTTTCATTTTGTCATGGACCATCCTCGTTGGGGCTGATGGGTATTGTAATACAAAGATCTGGAAAGTGCTCAGTAGGAGAGTCTGTACTCCATTAATGTTATTCTGCATGGCATATTTTCTTTCTCTGGCAAGGCAGTGCATAGACTGATCAAACGTCAACTACATATTATTTTCATTTTGTCATACACCATCCTCGTTGGGGCTGATGGGTATTGTAGTACAAAGATCTGGAAAGTGCTGAGTAGGAGAGTCTGTACTCCATTAATGTTACTCTGCGTGGCATATTTTCTTTCTCTGGCAAGGCAGTGTGTGGACTGGTCAAACGTGAACTACATATGATTTTCATTTTGTCATACACCATTCTGGTTGGGGCTGATCGGTATTGTAGCAGAAAGATCTGGAAAGTGCTGAGCAGGAAAGTCTGTACTCCATTAATGTTATTCTGCATGGCATATTTTCTTTCTCTGGCAAGGCAGTGTGTGGACTGGTCATTATTTTGAAAACGAACAGTATCAATCTATGATGGCATGTTTCTTGCATGCATAGGGCCATAGAGAGATCTCACCGTCAAGTTTTGCACCTTCAGATATCTGGGACGCACTAATTGTATGCAAAACAGGGCTAGATTTAGAGGAAGGCGGCCTGAAAACAGGAAACACTGCCCATTAAGAGGAACCAATGTCTCCCTGCGCTTTCCCTGAGCAACAGCTGGTCTGCTGGAAATATCTCTCTGTGTGTATATATTTGGTGAAGCTCGAGGGGAAATACATCCCGGGTGTTTATTCTATTTAAAAGCAAATTCCCATCTGGAGGGATCCATCAAACGGTTCAAAAAACATTTGGCCCCTTAACCCCAGGGTTCAAACACAGCCCTCCTTTTGTGTCGTCCTTGGGAAGCAGGAATTCCAAGCAGCGGAATGGAAAATAATTATTTCAGCAGCGAGGGAAAAAAGAAAGAAGAGTGTTCACGCAAACTGCCCGGCTTTAGTAAAGTCCAGTTTGGGGGTCTCCTGCTGCCAACCCAAACATGTTAGCTAACCCATGAAAAATGATTTACAAGGGAAACGGAGCTTGTGCGTCGCTCAAGACGTTGCTTCCTCGAGCGCTTTTTCCATCCTTTTTTCTGGGAAGGAAGAAGGAACCAACCGTTGCCTCTTGACCAGAGAAAAACTTCTCGTTTCCCAGTCTTTTGGGAAATGATTTGAGCCTTGGAAGCATGAAACAGGAGCAAAGACATGGAACTAGAATTCCCTCAGAAAGCTTAACTAGGACAAAATATACATATTTACATACACACACACACACACACACACATACCTATACACATGCACACATATGCACATCTACACACACATATACACAAATATACATATACACACACACACACCTACATACACACATATATGCATATACACATGCTCACACATATACATATACACATGCACACATACATATACACATATATGCATATACATACACATATATGCATATACACATGCTCACACATATACACACACATATACACACCTACATACACACATATGCATATACACATGCTCACACATATACATATACACATGCACACCTACACACACATATAGTTACACACATGCACACACATATACATATAAACATCTACATACACACATATATGCATATGCACATGCTCGCACACCTACATACTCATATATGCATATACACATGCACACCTACATACACACATATATGCATATACACATGCTCACATACATATATACATGCACACATACACACATATATGTATACATACACATGCATACCTACAAACACACATATATACATATACACATGCACATCTACACACACATATATGTATATACACATGCACACACATATACACAAATATACATATACACAGGCACACCTACATACACATATATGCATATACACAAATATACAAATATATACACACACGTATACACACACACACATATATATACATACACACATCTATACACCCATACATACACACACACACACACACACACACAAATATACACACACACATAAACACATATATATACACACACAAAACACATATACACAGACCGGGCCACAGCAATGCATGGCAGGGGATGGCTAGTTCTTCAATAAACCACTTGCTGATTGGACTACACTGGTGTGGTGTTTAAAGACAGAGGTGTTGCTGTTCCGGCATACAACATTACAAACTGGCTAGTCAGTGGTTCAGTTGAAGTCATAACTGGCATGCTATGTGGTTTCCAAGCTGTATAGCCAATGCATTTGAGCAGCATTTTCTCCGGACGTTTCGCCTGCATCTATGGCTAGTGGCATCTTCAGAGGATCCGACAGTAGAAGATGCCAACTATAGATGCAGGCAAAATGTCAGGAGAAAATGCTGCTAGAACACGGCCGTACAACCACACAACCCAGTTGATTCCGGCCATGAAAGCCTTCAACAATACACAGATGTGGTATCCTCAAAAAGATGGAGAATCCAAAGCCGGCTCGACCAAAGGATGGTTTCCGCAGTGCCGTGGCCTCCTTAAATGCTCAATTTCCTTTTC